ACAACTACACGGCCTGGGCAGTGTGCAAGCGCGAATGAGGCTCGTGGGCAGTCCGAGGACAACGGCAAAAAGCAACATATTTCTTCCTTTGAGCAGGTGTGTAATATGCAACAAAGTTATCTTTTGTGGGGGATGCACAACCCGTAACTAATCGGTGGTCGACTTGCAGACGATAAACAGCGTTTTTTCGGCGCTCAGCAGTGTTTCAGGAAACCATTCATTGTATTGTCGCATAAGCATGCTGCTTGGAATGTGTCGCGACGGGCTAGCAGCTTATGATGTCAGGTGCGAGAAAGTAGTGCGTTCGTCAGCCTCCAAGCAGATTTGCTCACTTGCAAATATAAACTGGATGTGAATTTAACATGAAAATGAAAGCTCCTCATTACGTGAACCGTAGGCTCGCCTGCTTTTCGACAGACGGCGCCACATGGGTCTTCCTGCCATCGCACCAAGAGGCTGAGCCGGATGTGGCACCAGCTGCAGCAGGATGGGGCCATAGTGCTTTGTATCATCACCTTGCAGGAAAAGTACGTTGCCTTAGGTCAGCCTATACTTCGCTGTGACTGACATCCGCCAGGCACACACCCTGAATTGCGGGGGAATGCGCTAACCGCCCTTAACTTTTCCTTTTCTTTCTTCGCAACGCTGCCAGAACATAACTCACAAGCGGCTGATGCATGAACATTAATCTGCAAGGCTTTGTCTTATGAACGCCTTACATAACAACATGACGCGTCCTGAACTGTATTCCTGCTCGCCCACACCTACTGTATCCCAAACTCGCATTCCTGCACCGCTTAGACTCCGCAATTTTGACGTAGGCGTTCCCACCCGCAAGCACGTGCGCAGGAACATCCTGCGCACACGGGCACTTGTGCCAAAACGGCTTCAAGTTGTACGCCAACTGCTTTCCTTTCGCAGCTCAGTCCTCACATCAGAGACACACACGCACACATACACACACATACATACACACATACGTCCTGCTTCCGTGTGGACGTAAAATGCATGCACGTGTGATATCCACGTGCCGCCAAACACCCGGGGCCCCCCTGAACGGGGTGGTGCACGTGTGCGCACATCCTCTATAACATGCGCGTGCACATGTAAATGCGTGAATTGCACATGCACCTGTGCGCATACGACTGCCATCTCCTTCCCATGCGCACCGACGTATATCCTCTGATATACATGCCACTCAGCGAAACCCTAATAAACCCCTTTGGACCGCAGCCTGACTCTGTAGCGGTTCTCAAGGGTTACAACTCGGCTACCATTCTCGGAGTGCCACCGCTGCCACCGATTCCGCCTCCGCCGCCACCGATTCCGCCGTCGGTAAGCCGGGTTTCCTCGCACGCTGACGGTGCGGGCGGGCGAACCAGGACGCTCTCAACTTCCGCCGCAGCCCCCACCGCCGCCGTTGCCGCTGCTGCCTCCGCTGCCACCGCCATGCCTCGCGCCTTAAGCAGCGGACTCCTGTTGCACGACTCGGAGCCACAGAGTCACAGGCCAGCAGCAGCAGTAGCAGCAGCAACGCCGATGCTGCAATCATCAACTCCAACGACGTACCGTACATCCCCACCGGGCGCCACTTCTATAATATGCTGTACGGCGATGGAGCCCTTGCGGTTAATACCCGGGGACCTCTTGGCGCTCCCAGTTCGCATGGAGGGCCGTCTGGCAGCTGCGTTGCTGCTGGGATGGGTGCAACGGCCGGGCGGGAACGTTACGGCAACGGTGGCGGCAGCTCCAGTGGCGGCGTCGTCGTCGTCCTCCTCCAGCCCGATGCTGCAATCTAAGCTACTCCCTTCAGCGGTCGGAGTTCCTTTGACAGGGCCCACCAGCACCGCTGCTGGTGGCGGCAATTATGGTGGTGGCGCTTTTGAACTGAGTCCCGATGAGCTGTCGCAGCTGCAACGGCTTGCCCAGTTCATTGCTTTTGGAGTAATGTGCGACTCGCAACACCGCCACACGCTGTCGCAGCTGGCGCATAGGTTTTCAAACTTACCGGGTGCATGCAGCTTGCACAACTTCGTCAGCGGTCTGCTGGACGCCGTGGCGGAGCTGTTGTACACCAAGTGAGCGGTGTGGAGTAAAAGTGAATGGTTGGGATGCCTGGGTTATTGGTAATGTCAGTTATGTGATAACGGCAGTTAGGAGGTTGGTTAGGTGGTTGAGTGGCATGGTTGAATCATGGGTTTCGGAGACGTGGTCGTACATGGCGTGAGGAGAGGTTTGAGGTGCGTGGGTTGTTGTCCGAGTGAGTGAGTGCGTGTCGGGATTACGTCGACAGAACGGGGAATATGCTAGCAGCAGCACCTGTCACAACCGCATCTATAATTTTTCTTCCTGTGAAAACGAACGCAGGGAAAATTGGGGTTAAAATAGGGAGTAATCCACAAAGAGTTTAGGTCAAGATTGCAAAGGAAAAACCCGATATGCAATGGAGGAACGGAGCTGTAGTAAACCGGGCATGATGATGGTGTTTACACCGCCGTTTGTCCTTCCCTGAAAGCTAAGGAAAGATCTTTCAGAAAATATAGTAGAAATTGCTTAACAAACATAAGCAATGCTCAATCCTCCGTGAATATGATTACGTTGCGGATTTATCATTAGAGGGGGTTCGAAGCGAAGAGACCGAATACAATCGGCAGTATGATGTGTGGGACAGGGGGGCATATCTTCACCCGTGAATACTGCTGGGTGACTGCTGGCTGCTGCATCGGGGCCGAGAGCCGTTTTCGGGGTTCTTTGAAGAAGCTGACTACTCTTATGATAACCTGTTATAAGGTTGACTGCTTTATTTAATCCTGTTTTGCTTCGGTTTTACGTATGATCTGCTCTGAAACTTAAACATGTATGGATGCAGTTTTGGTTTTCTTTTTTCATCTTTCACCACTATGAAGTTTTTACATCATAGTATATCCACCAGTTATGTGCATGTGAAAGTACAGTACAGAGAAAATCAAAGGGATGCTTTTTCATGCGCCTCAGGTTCGCAGTGCCGCTGCGGCCAATCCTGCTCCTCACTCACGGCCTCAACTCCGGCGGCACAGCGGTCCTCTTCTCCCTGAGGCACACATCGCCATCCCAGACAGTTGCACAACAGCAACAACAACAACAACAACAACAACAACAACAACAACAACAACAACAACAACAACAACAACAACAACAACAACAACAACAACAACAACAACAACAACAACAACAACAACAACAACAACAACAACAACAACAACAGCAAGAGACAACTCCCGCCGGGGAAGCAGGAGGCCTCCTAGAGGGTTGGAGCGGCCGAGCCGAGGCCTCATCCACCAGCCTGATGGGCATCCTCAAGGGCGGAGCAGAGGACGGCGGAAGTCTGGGGCAGGTGGGAGGGGAAGGCTTGGCCTCCCCCTCCCCATCTCCCGCATCAGCCTCGTCAAGAGTGCGGGCGGTGCGCATTTCGCTGCACCACACACTGCTGGCAGAGGCGCTCAGGTGGGTGTCGGTTTTAAGAGTTTCAGGATTTGCAAAACTGCAACATAGGCAACTCGTGCATGGAAAAAATGAATGACTTTCCCTCCTCTGCATTCGGAAAGCCCCCGCCGTGAAGAGTCGTCAACTTCTTCTTGGGACATACCATACCATGTCATTTAAGTGAGAGGACTGGAACTGACCCCCTGCCACACACACACACACACACACACACCCCTCCAGTCCCGGTCCACTACCCCGCCTGACGGGTCTGCAGGGATGCCGCCAAACAGGCTTCACTCCACGCAAGTGGCGGCAGCGGCATTCCACAAGGCACCACCGCCGCTGCTGGCACGGCCGTTGCCGCCGCCGCTGCATCCCACATCACGGGTGCTGCAGGTGGTGCCGCCACCGCCGGTGGCACCCATACTCTAACATGTGCCAACGGTGGTGGTGTCGCCGCCGCCGCCACCACTGCCGTACCACTGCCAACCAGTCCTTACGTGGCACAGGTGCGCAGCAAATGGACTGGAAAAAATGGTTGCGTTGACGTTTTTTGGTAATGATGATCGCCTTCGTAATTTTATATGTAAGTGTGTATGTCTGTTTTTGTGTGTGTATGTGTCTGTTTTTTCTTGTGTGTGTGTGCGTGTGCATGTGCGTGTGCGTGTGTGTGTTTTACACCTCCTGGAGTTGCGCGTGACTCACCGAAGGCGTAATGTCCCCATATTTACGAGCCGAGCGCGGCCCAAGAGCCAGTCCAGGGCTGTCCAAAATGGATAAAACAACGCAACAATAGAGATCTAAAAAATATCATTATCCTTTATCCGTGTACAGCTTCGTTTCCGTTCCATAGGAGGCGCCATACAACATGCTGGTCGTACACTAGCCGCACGAGTCCGCACCGCATACCGGATGTTGCACTGCTTCAAGACGCTGTGCTTCTTCTAACTTCTTCTACATTGTCCTCGTAGGGCGCCATGGCGCCAGGAGCTATCCATCCTGCCGTGGCAACCGCACCCGCCTCAACTGACATCGACAGCAAAGGCGCCGCCGTCGCCACTGCCGCCACCGTAGTCACCGCCGCCGCGGCATCGTACACTCCGCCTCCTCCTCCTCCGCCGCCGCGGCCGCCTATGCCGCCTCCCATTCATACAGCCGTGGTTACCAATCTCGCCACACATCTGCTCGAAGAGGGTGCACCCTGCCGCGACCTCCTGCTATGCTCCAACTTGGTTTATGGCGGTACGACAGGCTCACTCGTGCTGGCGGTGGAGGCGCCACCTGCGGCGGCCGCCGCCGCCGGCGCTGCTGCTGCTACATTCCCACCCAGCAGCCACAACACCGTGTCAGCGCTGCTGGCGCCTGGCAGCGGCGGAGGCGCGGCCGCCGCTCCCAGCGCAAGCGCACCGGCGGAGGCGGGGCGCATGCTGGCTAATCCGCTTCAAGCGGCGGCCAATTTGGCGGCGGTAGGCGGCCTATCGGCCCGGTCAGCACAGTCAAGGCAGTTGGGGATGTTGCATTCACAGCGGCAATTTGGAATGTACGTCGTTTGCCCTCAAGTTCTGCCCACGGGGATGCTGTCGGCGATTGCTCAGGAGCTCAAACAGCTCTTGGGAGTGAGTTGTGCACCCGGTGGGGAGCCGACATGTGCGGTACATACATACATACATACATACATACATACATACATACATACATACATACATACATACATACATACATACATACATACATACATACATACATACATACATACATACATACATACATACATACATACATACATACATACATACATACATACATACATACATACATACATACATACATACATACATACATACATACATACATACATACATACATACATACATACAAACAAACAAACAAACAAACAACGACACCTCGTGTTGGTCTCCATCTCTTCCCCTTAACTCCGTAATCCAGGCAGTTGATGACGAGTAGCTGAGAACGCGCGTTAGTTGACGGGTCGTTGCTTTTTCCATCCGCCCGGTTGGTGCCGGTTGGTGTTGATGCAGCTGTCCCATTGGCTTTTGCGCCACATGATGCCCCGCTGTCCTTCATTTTTCATTTTCATTTTTCATTTTCATTTTCATTTTTCATTTTCATGTTAATCTCGATCGCCTACATCCAGATGGCGCTGGTTACGAGTCGCGACGGCGCCTTGTCGCTACTCAGCGGCGGTCGTTGTGGCTGGGAGCTATACACCATGCAGGAGCAGATGATGGGGATAAGCCCCAGCACCCCCCTCGCTGTCGCCGCCTCAGCCGCAACCGGCAGCGGTGGCAGCATATCCATGGCGCTGGCGGCTGCTTTTGCCGCTGCTAGTGTTGCGCCGGCATCTCATCAGGCTCTGCAAATGTCGCCGCCGTCGCCAGGGCCAGCGGTGGTGCCTCTGCCACCGTCGGCCTGGCTTCCCGCGCCCCCCTCTCCTAGAGCGGCTGCTGCTGCGGCTGCGGCGGCAGCGGCTGCGGCGGCTTCAGGAGCTGGCAGTGGAGGTGGCGGCGGTGTTGGGGGTGGGGGTGGGGATGCTGGTGGCACTATTGGCGGCGGTGGTGGCGGCAATAAGGCGCTAAGAGGGGCGCAGAAGGGGTTGGCGGCGGCCGCAGCTGTCCTCCTCAACCGAAAAGGTGAGGTGGCGGGGTGGGGGCATATGGCCCATATGCTATGGGGTACAGGATGTTGGGCCCAAACTCCTAAAGCCAAACTGCCAACTAAAGTCTGACTCCCGCACGGGTCGATGCAGAGGAAGTGGAAGTTGGAGTGAGATGGGAATGGGGATGAGGTGGGCGGCACCCCTCATCCTTATCCTCATCTCCCCCATGCTCTCCACAGCTCCTCACCGGCCCTGACATCAATGAAAGGTTCCCCCGCGTGGCGACATATTCTCCAATCTCTTACGTTTTGCAGACAGTTTCAAAGTGCTGTTACCCTAGAAAAGGCAACCCCTGGTCCCCAGGAAAGCCTTATGTCTTTTTGTGCCTACCAGAGTTTCCCCAAACGGACCGCCTAGGGTTTCTTATCCACAAAGAAAATTTTTCCGGAATATAAATCCGGAGTATTCTGTTAAGTGTTCCGTAAAATTAATTATCATACCTGAATACCTGTATTTCCGAACATTCCGGCATAATCGTGAAGAGTTCTGAGTATTCCCCAGGAAACCCAAAATGATCCAAACTCGAAATATTCCTGAAAATTCCCAATCAATCCCGACCATTCCTCATTATTTCCGAATACTCCCGACATGTTAAACGGTGTGACTCATTCGCCATTCGCACAAGCCTCACAGGTCTCATGGGTCGGCCACCGCACCCAGCAGTCTTCTCCTCAGCTGCCGCCCCCTTCTCTTGTAACGACGGGATGCCGTCGCCGTACGTTGGCGTCAGGGGCGGCAAGGCGGGCGGCGGGCCGGTGGGTGGCGGCGTCAGCAGTGGAGAGGGAGAACGGACAGGGGGATTCCGCTCTGCAGGCTTTACGCGGATGCTGTCATCTCATCTGCACATGTTGGCGGCGGCGAGAGCGACCCACGGGTCAGTTAGCCGGAGTGTTCTAGAACGGCACAAGACAGATCTCCCAGGGGATGCTTCTGGGGGTAACAGTACGGCGACAACAGCTGGCGGGCTGCTGTCTGATGCTACAGGTGGGCGAGGGGGGTGAAGGAAGGAGGGGGGTGGGGATGGGGAAAAGGTCAACCGCGAGGGGAAATGGGCCCTGACCTGCTGAAAGAGTTTGTCAGCGGTCCGTTGCCGTGTCCAAAACGTTGAGCATTTTGAGCAAAACTACAAAGAAAATGATGTATGTGTACGCAGGAGCCTGTTGGGAAGTATGCAACATTTAACCTTTAATAATCGTCTGGATATACTGTTCATGGTTGCAAGACCGTGTGCTTGTATTTACATCAGCGTGCTTAAATTGTATTTTCAACTCTACAACTCCATCACTCTGTTTGGGTTTGTCGTACGTCCGTATCTATATGCCGCACAGGTACGGGACAGCCGGACATCGAGGGCAATACCAGCTCCTTACACTGGCTTCTGGCAAGCTCTCCAGAGGTGATGTTGGAGCTGGCCGCGTCAGGGCCCTCCGCGCTGGAGGTATGTGTATTTTGCAGTTTTTGATTTTTTACTTTGTAATAACCCTAAGGTGTACGACATGTCCAGTGTACGATGTGGCACGGCATTTACCAGCGGTATTTTTTCCATCAAGTCTCCTCTGTGCGGTGCACCGCTGCCGTGGACTCTCCGTCCTCCCTGATCGCCACCTTCAATGCATCCTCCCCTCACCTCTTCCCTCTTTTTTTACCCCTAGTAACCCCGTTTATATACATCATCTGTTCGCGTCCTGTCGGTGCCCCCAGGCGGGTGGGTATCGCCAAATCTGATGGCCTCTTGTGTCCTCTTCCTGCACCCTCCGAACCCTGTGCCCATTTCCAGCGAGACTCATCCACGTGCGCGTTCGGGTTACGCCCCCTCTCCCCGTCCTCCCTTCCCCCCTTCCTCTCCCTTTTTCCCCCTCCTCCCTGAAATGCCCTGCATGTCCAGGTGATGGTGTCCTCCATGCGAAGCGGCATCACAGCGGCCCTCACAAGTGCCGTAGCCCCGGAAGGCGGTGGTGACGAAGCAAGGTGTGCTTGCGTAGCGTAGTACCGCATACGTTTCCTAATGAGGCTACGTCACACCACACGGCGGATGATGACATCAAATATTATATATATGTCGTATATATATCATATATATACGACATATATATATGTGTCAAACGTGGCTACAACAAGCAGACAGAAAGAGTGGCTGTTGCATACGCTCCCTGTGCTTTCCGTTTTACCTCTTACCCGACTCTTAGTCTTAGGGTTTCATGTAATTTAATACAAGTTACAAGTTACAAATTCCGCTTAAGGACTTGCGGGGGGTTGTCTGTAAAAGCCCGGGGGGGGGCCCTCAAGGACAGTAAATCATTTTTAGTGCGGATACGTGGTGGACCATCATCGTCCTCCCTCATCCGCTGGGAGCACGAAGCGCCTTAGAGCGACGTGCCGGGTGATGCTTTGGAGTGAAGGAGGCGGCCAGTGCACCGCTCGGTGTCCGCAGTGCATTTTGATTATTGCATTTATTTCATGTTGGTGTTGGTCTTCTCGTACGTACACCATCGTAGCTTTTCCCTCTTCTGCACCACACAGGGCGGCGTTATCACAGGAGCTTGCCGCCCTGCGATTGTACGACGTCATAGGCCGGGGCGGCCAGGTATGTGTGTGCCGCATGTAAACGGCACAGCAGCGCACACAGGCGTGCGCGTTTGTGTTTGTGTTTGCGTATATGGATACGTGTAAATAGCGAGGCAAGGTCAATGTATATAGCTAGATATGTGTGTGCGTGTTACACCTTGCGAGGACACGTAAAAACTAAGTTGGAGTTTCGCTGTTCGACGCTGATGAGGCACACACAGAGTTACATGCGAGAATGCGCATTTACGCTGCAGCTCTACGCTTTTAAACGCTTGCGGCATGCAATAATTCCTAATATAATAGTTGCCGTGCTACACCAACGCTTGCGCATTCACTGACATTGCCGAGCAGGGAGTCGTATTCTACGGCACCCTACACGGCCTTGAAACAGCAGTCAAGGTAATTGTGCACCGGGGGAAAGGGGAGCCGCTGGCGCATGATGGAGGTGACCTGTGGGCAGCTGCTGAGGCGACGAGGGACGGCGCTGGCGGCGCTGCTGGTGGCGCTGCTGGCGGCGGAGCTGGCGGCGGAGCTGCGGTCGAAGATGTGCCCGAAGGAGGCGGTCAGGGCGACCTGTCAAGGATACGGAAAGTGCGTATGTGCGTGGTTGTTACAGTGCGCTCCAGACTCAGTGCGTATGTGTTGTGCTGCGCGCACTGAGTGTTGTGTTGCACGCGGGAGAAAGCACGATGAGATGAGGGTTTCCTGCTTCTAATATCGGAAGGTGTTAACGCTGTTGGGAGTTTTGTCGAATGACGGGGTTGGTTCCTCTTTTGATAAGGTCGTATGTCGTACAGACGCTTGCCGTACAGACGTCGTAATCCTAGTGCTGACACCTAATGCCGTACTGTGTCGTCTCGAAACCACGTACAGGCCAAGCGCGGCGCTCTGGAGCTGGTGGTGACGGGTGCGTTGTCGCATCCGAATATCGTACAGGTGTGCCGTACAGCAACGCCTGTCGTACCGTATGGCAACACGGCGTTTTTGGAGGGTCCGGTTGCCTTGGGCGTATGTGTAACAGATAGAATAAGCTACAAAAAAATAGGTTGAGTATGCTAAACGTTGTTGCTGTTATTATCTTGCACTTCCTATCCTTTCTATAACCGCACTCCCTTCGCATTCCATGTTTATATGGAACGCGGCTGAGTTTATAAAGGATAATGGTAACGCATCATGTAGCACATCATCAAGGAATATTGCTGACGCATCATTATCGTGTGAATTAAGACCTTCTATTGTCTCATCTCCCCCACTGCCACGATCTCTCCTATATCCGCAGGTGCTTGCTTCATTCTCCGACGTTATTATGGTTCGCTGCACTTACCGCTCGGAGCCCAGTCCCAGGCTGCGGCTGGTGGCTAAAGACGATCCCATTTTATCATCTTGGGAGTCACCCGGTAGGGGCTCGAACCCTGGTGGGAACTGGAAGGGTTGTGCAGCCGTATCAGTTATTCAATTTCTTTCATGACCTTTTTGATGTTCATGTCTCCGGCGTGTGTTCAGCACACATATTTATGTTAGGCACTACTGGTAAAGCACGCACCAATGCCCCGGGAAGATCCGGGATCGAGACCTGTCAGGGTCGATAATCCTTCCGATGGTGGGAGGTAAAGTGCCCCTAGTCGATGGACGGTGGTGACCCGGGATGAAGTTGATTTGCGAGCTGACCAGGAATGGAGTTGAGTCGCCGTCGATCCGGTAGATTCCGTTGGATGTCGGTGGATGTTGGTGCGGAAGCTGAGCGATCCACTGGGAAGTTGAATAGGTTGACTGGATGAGGGTGCCCCGAAATACCGGGGAAGGCGGGGTTTCGCCGGGTAGCGGCCACGGGTGAAGATATGGCTCCCTGTCCCACACATCATACACATCGAGTGGACAAGGCGCTAATGTGTTTTGTCCAGTGCTTGTATAACTGCCCAACCATGAAACTGGCCAAAACATTGTTCACAACAGACTGCGACGCGCTCGTAGAAACCAAAGCTACATCTCGCGCACATGCTGTCCCAGCTTGCCCCCTTCCTTCTTCCTCCCAACCTTAGCTGCCTGGAAGGCGCCTTCCGGGGGGCCGGCCGTAGCTGGGGCAAGCCTTGAGTGCATTTCCTTTTAAAACTTCTACATATTTCCTTGCACATTTGCACGTCCCTCCACGCTATATTTATTAGTTTGATATCTCTTCTTTGATATTTACTTCGTATTGATTTTTGCATTTTTGCACGTTGTTTTCTTGCGCGATCTTTTTCACGACACTGGCTTCTGGGCTCATTCCATTTGCCGGCCCTCTTTCCCGCCCCTCCTCCCTTCTTTCCTCAGGCCCTCTCAACACCGTCGTGTGCCTGGAGTACTGCGACGCGGGAACCCTGCTGGACGCCGCACAAGCAGGCGCCTTCAGGCCGCGAGGGAGCTCCGTACTCTCCGGTGCCGTACGGCCATCACTTGTACCGCTTTACACTAGCCTTCTGGAGGTGAGAGTATATTTGTGACATAGCATAACTCATGAGCTGCTGGAGCAAGGGTAAAATGATGAAAATCATTAATGTAATTCGTTGGATAGCCAGCTTTGTCACGCTTGACATGCCTGCTGCGTACCGTACACACAAATCTATGCGTATCTTGCAGCGGCTGGGCAGTGCCGGTGTTACATTATCATCTGCTCTCATCATACATTTTGGGATTTATCTGCTGTCCTCTGCCCAATTTTCTAATCCCCAATTTATCTCCATGACGAACTAACCCAATACTTTTCCCCTCTTCTTTCTCACTGCTCCCACGCTGCTGCCTATAGGTGGCTCTGGCCTTGCGCTACCTGCATTCCAGGCGGCTGGTCCATTGCGACTTGAAGCCGGGGAATGTGTTGCTCAAGAGCTCGCCGAGGGACCCGCGGGGCTGGACATGCAAGGTGGGTAGCGGTAGATGGCGGGGAGGGGGTTCGGGAAAGGAGCGGCTGTTGCAGCGGAGGGAATTTTACCGTAGGGAATTGGATGTCTTCCTTGGTACTCATGTGTGTGTGTATGTGTGTGTGTGTGTTACATGGTTGTTGGGGGGTGCGTGACCCCATACCTGTAAAACTACCCATGCGAGCCGAAGGCCCAAGGGCAATATCTGTACGCCTTAAACCCACGGAGAAATGGTACTCGTGTGTGGTACGAAATTATACGTCTGTAACTAGGAAACCTTGCTTTTGCAAAACAAATTAAAAAACTCCGCTACATGTATTGGAGCTCTAGAGTATGATGTTGTTACAGGGTGGTATAGCTTCACCAGCGGCCCCCTTTCCCTTGGGGGCGGTTCCCTGGTCTCCCCTGTGAGAGGGGCACCCTAATCCATTCACCCCACCCGACTTCAGAATGTATTCGTTGGGTTTAGCAACTCACCACCAGCATCCAACCAAATCTAGCGGATCAACGGTGCCACAACTTGATTCCTGGTCAGCTCGCAAGTTGATATGATCACGTCCTACACCGTCCACAAGTTGGGGGGCCACCTCCCAATTCAACACCTCGGCAGGCGGATTTGAACCCGGAACCTCCGGGAGCAGAAGTCAGGCCTTAACTTCCGCCAGCCACCTGCCAAGTATATATATATATGCCGTACCACCGTTACAGTACTGCACCTATGTTTGTATGCCTGGGTTGTGCACATGCAGCTCAGCGACTTCGGCTGTGTACGGCTGATGACGGAGCTTCCCGTCACGCCAGAAGACCTGCAGCGGCCCTTCCCGCACACCCGACGAGCCCCGGCGGCACTAGGACACCACCAGCCGCAGCAGACGTCTTCGCCATCCGGACAAAACCAGAATCAACATGAGCATCAACACCAACCGGGGGTTTCACAGCCGCCAGCGACTGTGGTCGGGTTCCGAGTAGCTCAGCCACTGGGTGAGTTTCGGAGGAGGCGAGCATAGGTGCTGCTGGGGCACTGCTAGGAGATGAAACTGGTTGGAGCCAGCGGGGTTAGGGGCTAGGGGGTACAGGGCGGATGCAGGGGTTTGGTGTCTTTTGCGCTTGGAGCTATGTGTTGGGTGTATTTGAGGGTTATGGGTTTCGGGGCTGGGCTTTCCTTCAGGCGGTCTTTCCTTCCTGCTGAGGGGAGAGATATCTTTTAGGGTTTTAGGGTATTTTATATCAGATATAAGAAATATAATAAAAATGGAATTTGCTGCACCGACGGTTGCAACGTTGGCGATGCAGGTACGATTGCGTACATGGCGCCTGAGTCCTTCATTCGAGGACACATCTTGGGAGCAAGTATTGACATATACGGTGAGGGCTGAGGGCGGGGGTGGGGGTGGGGGTGGGGGTGGGGGTGGGGGTGCATAGTGAGCGAGCTGCGGAACTGCAGGAAATCAAACTCCACTGAGACCTCATCGCTATTGATCCTCTCGCCACCAATGCTTATTACCAGGTAGCAGTTCTGACTCGCTCAAGTATAAGACCAACATAATCAGCAGCTCGTTTGTGGTTCTTGGGGTACGACTTGGGGTTTTTTTCCCGTCGGTGGCCCATTTGCAGAGGTTGGGCATTCCCTCTCTTTTCTCTCTTTCTGTTTTTATTTCCCGTTCTACCTCTCCACCTTAACTTCCCAACCTTGCCCTGCCCCGCAACCCATCTGGCTGATGCATTGCCTGCGTGTGCAGCTTTCGGTATTCTCATGTACGAGCTGCTGATGTGTCGGGCGCCGTACACGGGTATCGACGCCCAGGCGCTGGCCCGTCTGGTCCTTCGCCAGCATCTGCGACCCGACTTCCACCCACTAGCCCCTCCAGAGTATTGGTAAGTGCAGTACCGAAACATTGTCGTACAATGGTTTGTGCATGTGTGTCTGTATCTGCGTACCTATGTACGTGTCCTTAGCTCTTGAGCTGTACTCCTTGTTTAGCTCACGCTAACCCGCATGTGCTGGTGCTGGTGCTGTACATGTGTCGTACGCTCGCATGCATCGGCCTTTTTCACGTGCGTGTTTTGATGCACACACAGCCACTTGGCCTCAAGGTGCTGGTCGAGTCACGCGTCGCGTCGACCGACTGCCGTTCAGCTGGTCAGCGAAATCGAGGCGCTTCTTGGGGATGCACAGCTTAAGGAGAGCCGCAAAGCATTGCAGTCAACTGCTGTTAATGTTGCTCCTACGACTGCAGCTGCAGCAGCGACGGCGGCGGCGCCGGTCGCCAGGGAGCGCCCGCCGCCCTCTCCCATCGTTCGGCAGCTTCAGCAGCAACTGGCGGCGGCGCCGCCGCCGCCACAGCCGCCGCAGGAGCCACACGCGCGGATTACGAAGTTCAATGATACCCCACTGGCCGCAGCTGTTCCTGCGGTGGCATTGGAGACAGAGCAGTTGCTGCTGTCGTCATTGAGGGCATCGCCATCGACGTTGCAACCGCAGCAGGAGCAGGAACCACTGCCACAGCTATCACAGCAACAAGACCAGGGGTAGATATAGTGTTACGAAGCTTATCAGGGCAGTGTTAGATTAGCACATGATGGGATAAAGGCCAGAATCCTCAGCCACTTCAGAGTTGAACGCAGAGGAAACCATTAGCAGTAGCTGTAGCAGCAGCAGTAGTAGCAGCAGCAGCTGTAGTGGTAGCAGATTTCACAAGCGAGGCGGTACATGTTGTAAGGCGTGTGTTCCTTGTGCGGTTCACGGCCTTCGGTACTTGTCTGGAATGTACGAGCCCATTCGTCCCTAAGTCTCTTCACCCCAGGAGCGAGCTCCCCTCCCTGCCCCTGCCTTTTCATGCTGGAAAGGGAAGGGGATAGGGCGGGAAGGAGGGTGGGAGGGAGGGCGGGAAGGAGGGCGGACAAAAAGAAGTTTTTAATGGCTGCATGATCCCAAGTTGAGGCGAATCGGACCGGTTACTTGGTGCTGCTGGCGAGATGGGAGATGGGTGGCTCTAGCGGTGATATTGTAATGTTGTGATTATAATAATATCTTTTGTGCTAATGATGGCTCTGATGGAACATATGTGGCTGTCGACGACTTTAATGAGGATGGGAATTGATGAATGAATGCTGATTTATGAATGCATGTTTTGATTAAAGCAGAATGGAACGGAAGAACAGTTGGAGATGAGGCAGTCGTCAGATGGGCGTGTATACATACAGGCATACATACCAGATCTTCTCGTAGCACAGACGGGAGAGAAGTGTGTGCATGTGTGCTGCATGGTGTCGATGATGTACGTATATGGATCCATCTGCATGGTGTCGATGATGTACGTATATGGATCCATCTGCATGGTGTCGATGATGTACGTATATGGATCCATCTGCATGGTGTCGATGATGTACGTATATGGATCCATCTGCATGGTGTCGATGATGTACGTATATGGAATTGTATAGCGAGGGAAGAACGAGCGGTGGAGTAGCGCGGACAGGCAGTGGCTGATCTTTGCTTTGTCCAAACGCTCCGTTTCTGTCTTTGTGATGCTTTTATGGATACTTTTGCTGAATTGAACGATCTACAAGTAATAAGGTTGCCCATGTGCCTATCTATCACCTCGCTATGTACGACGGTTTCAAATAATAAAAAGGGTTCGATGGTGCGAAATCGGGTAGTGCTTAGCAGGGCCATGTACTGAGCCTGGACTTTTGCGCACCCTCTTTCGGAAAATGCACGTGTGTTGTGCGTTTTCCTGAAACAGGTGTCCATGCGTGTGCGTGTTTATGTGCGAATGTGTGCGTTTGTTTGTTTGTATGTAAGTATGCCACACTGAGATCCATACCTGCCAAGGCCTGGGGCGGCGTGATGCTGGCCCCGGCTGACCGCCCTTCATACAGACAGCAGAGGGCGGGTGCGGCGCGCGCGCGCGCATGCATCCGAACCTCTATTTTGAGTTGCCAGCTGTGGACACTACGCAGTTAACCGTGTAAGTGGTTTTTGCTTAGGTACGAACATTTTGTCGTCCTTGACCGACGCATCGCTCGTATATATGTACGAGTATCTCAAGCCTTGGGATGCGTTCGTCGGGGTCCATTAGTACATCCACTTGCAGGACGCTGCGTGTTTTCTGCGAATAATTACAGCGGGGCATTACAGCGGCGCATTACTCCACGCTGGTTATATATATATTTTCCATGTTGTGGTGGTGTAACTGTCGGCAGAATTCCATTTACTGCCTGTTCCGTTGCTGTGCCGAGCGGACGATTGCGGAGAGGTTTTATTCTCCCGGTTTTGGGGCGATTATGTGACATATATTCCATCCATCGTTAACCAGCTCATCTTTGAGAAGTTGATGCTGTTTGTTTTCTAAGCAGAAGTTTTTTTCTGTTGGTGTTGGAGGTCGTTCCCACCTGTAGCGGACATCAAGGGTGCATATATGCGGCAGGGTGATGCCCCCTTGTAGTCCTCCGCTCTTTGGGTCAGTTTTGCTGGCAGCAGGTGTCGTATTTGCGTGTCTTATCGCAGGAAAAAAAGAGCCGATCGGCGGATGCTAGATCCCGTGATACCCAGGATACGACAGATGGTTGGCAGCTAGGAATGAAAGCAGGATTCCGGGCGTAACAAGGCGTTTGACGTCTTTGGGGCTGAATAGGTCCTTGGACACACACCCATGCATATTGTGGTAGCCAGCCGTGTCGCCTGAGAGCGCAGTACATGCTGATTTACTTTACCTGCATTGCTCGCCGGCATCCATGATCATAGGATGAAACCCCCGCCGAAATTTTCCCAGCGTTGATGCATATTCGGCAATGGCTCGTGTTGCACACGATTCGATGTTTTCTCTCTGCTGGGCCAGCGGTTGAACCAGACCTTGCGTGTCGGTAAAACGTTTACGCGTTGCTGATATCACACCATCGACGCTCTTTCATCGGCAGTCGCGTGCCATTTTTTTTGCGAAGAATGCGTCATTCATGTGTGCATCCTGCCGTCGTGTTTGATGACATCTTTGTTCTTTTAGCCCTACCATCTTGAGGTTATTGCCGTACACGTCTGTGTCTGCCTGCGTGTACAGCCAATACACAAAGTGCCCAGCGGAGACAGCCGCATGTCCTAGAGGAGAGGCTGCTCTGCGGGGAACGACCACTACGTTTTGCGCTCCGATGCCGCCGTAGAGAGCGGTACCGCCGCCGAGGGGCCCATGGGGCCCCGGCAAGGCAAGGGAAGGGAAGGGAAGTGTGATTTGGAGCAGACAGCATTCAGGTTCTGTTGCTGCTGATGTTGCTTTATCGGTATGTAAGTATGTTCGCAATTCCTTGTTATTAGTGTGGATTTATAGCTAGCTTTACACAACCGAAATGGAGGGGAAGGGAGTTCGGTAGTAGTAGCACACACATCACACACATCACGCACATGTACACAGAAGCCTGGTAAGGGTGTACGGTACTACACAGCACATGTCACATGATGACAATTACTTGATTCTGAATGCCGCCACTTGTTGGTGATGGAGCATATGTGCTGCTGATCTCGATCTGCTGCACTGGGCTCTGCTGCGTCTCTGGGCCTAAAATAATGTGCGTTTTCCTTTATCCTTTACATGCACTTCAATGACCGTGAGCACTTGTCTGTTCTACACGTCAGCAGTGGTTGATTGTGCGGATGCAAGACGCTTGTAGATGATGACCAGCAGCATGGCCTAGTTCGCCCGTGCGGATATCACGAAGGCTCTGGGACGGGGGAAGACGACAACAAAGTGGCCGGGAGTGAGAAGGACAGCGACCGGGAGAGGAGTCAGGCAGCGGGCGGCGGGTACCGCTACCATTACGGCCATTACGTGGTAATGTAAAGGCACGATACAATATGTTGTTGCGCAGTTGTTGCCCTTTGATAAATGGCGACGCTTACAACTGACAACTTATCATAGCAATCCATACGTGTCTCAGGGATGTGGGTTTCGGCGCGGCGGTGTGATTGGTTGACGGTTGCCTAAGTACCTACCCCTAGCTAGCGGCACCTACATACACATACACGGTGTAGGACGTGATAATATCAACTTGCGAGCTGACCAGGAACTAAGTTGAGGCGCCGTTAATCCGCTAAATTTGGTTGGATGCTGGTGGTGAGTTGCTGAAGTCGGATGGGGTGAACGGATTAGGGTGCCCCTCTCGCAGGGGGGAGCAGGGAACTGCCTCCAAGGGAAAGGGGGCCGCTGGTGAAGCTTAACCACCCTGTAACAACATACATACACACACATGCACTCCTGACATGTACTTCAGAATGCCCAATTTAAAACATAGCGGCGGCAGCTAGGCCTGCAGTAGATCCCTTAGACGTGTATTTGCAGGGGTCTTTCTCCTTGGCATGTGAACTAATTACGCGTGCACAAGGACAGCTAGCTGTTTGCCCCGTATGGCAGTTTGTTTGATCCGAGTCCACCCTGTGCAGCAGGTACCACAAATTACAGACCAACCCAAATTCCCAAGCACAGAGCAACTGGACAAGCTGGAGGAAGTGCAAAATGAGGATAGGGGAATTAGTCGGGTCCACCGCCCACACATTCTCGGTGGCGTACCTATCGTACAACGCCGCCCAATGAATTGCTACTGCCTTAAGCGGGCTCATGCTACCTCCCTCAGCCGCACACCCGCGAGCATGCCTATCCCAAGTCTGCGAGGCTGGCCGGATGAATTGAGCATGGAAAAAGACAAATGTATTACAGAACGCGCGACCATTGCCTCCGGGAGGTCCCAGGATCGAGACCTGTCAGGGTCGAAAATCCTTCCGATGGTGGAAGGTATTGCTGATGGACGGTGGTGACCTGGGATAAAGTTAACCTGCGAGCCGACCAGGAATGGAGTTGGGCCGCTGTCGACCCGGCAGATTCCGTTGGATGCTGGTGGTGGGTGCGGAACCTGAGCGATCCACTGAGAAGTTCACTCGATGAGGGTGCCCCGAAATACCGGGGAAGGCAGGTTTCGCAGGGTAGCTGCCACGGGTGATGAAATACCCCCCTGGCTCACAAAAAAAATGCTGGGAGGCGTTACAGCGGAGACCAACAACAAGGCACGCAGGGGGCCCCCAAGTGATCAAGTTAGCAAGGAGGATCAGGGGGGCATTAGCGGAGAAATGAAATGGTCATGTAAGATAGGCCGCATCGTTTGCCATGAGCTCTGTCTTTATTCCCTCTCCAATAGTAGCGTGAAACGTGAGCGCAGTTTCATGGATAATGCTTCGTTTAAATTGACGACTTGAAATGAGGGTGTTTCTCGGACTATCCAGGTGACAGGGCCGTGGTAGGTGAACCTGGTTTGGTATATACTTACACGAACATGTTTATAGACGACTGCATCAAGAAGTTTGGACCCCAAGGGAATCAATGACAGCGTGATAGAGTTGAAAAGGTGTGTGGCGGATGATGCGACAGGTTCTGCAACAGTCTAAAAAGCGTTATATCCGCAAAGAAACCGATCAAGCACATCTCGGAGCCGTTCTCTTCAAAGCTCGTCCTCAGGAATCCCAATCAATTGTATGTTTTAAACTTCCTCACTATTCTCGTAGTCATAGTTGAAAAATCTATTGTCCGTCCAAGTTGGGGACCACATTTGCAAGTTTGCGCAACTCTACTACGCGACCTGGACATTAAAGCCAGGCGCTGCTTATTTGATGGGTAGTCCTTTAATCGTAAGGTTCTTTTCTGCTTTGCTTATATAACCAATACATTGGGCCTGCGAGGGCGCAACTAGCTTCGCGACCGTGCAAGCGTGTAGTTTCCGACCAGTGTTTTGGCCCCAAGTTTATTCTTAGCACACAATGCAAAATACTCATATCTCCTTACAGAGGACCGGCCCGATTGCAGCACCACCAAAGGCAATTGGCATTGGGACCAATCCGCGTGCAGCCTCCGCCGCGGCACGCGCACCTGCATCTTCGCAGCAGCAACATCAAGCCTCCCTCATACGACGCACGGTTGCTCGGGGCGCCAGCTTGAACGATCAGGACGTCGTCGTCGCGCCGCTGTGCGACAATCGCAATGCGGACGCTATCACCGAAGCTGGGCCAAGCGATGGCGCGCTGGCGAACACGTCGAGCAAGGTTTTCGCGGTGTCTACCCTCGCTTCGCTGCTCCTTTCCTCTGCAACGCCATCCTTCGCTTCTGGAGCCGTAGATGTCGCGTTGGCCTCTGCATCGGCAGCCAAGGCCTCGACCTCGATCTTTGCTGCAGGTAGGCGCTCTCCTCCCTCCCCGTCCGACCCCAGCTTACAACAATCCAGATTGCATTGCTCCGTGTCCCATCTACTCTTTATCGTACTTACCTCCATGCACCCCCACCCCCACCCATCCCTGCATCTCATGATAACTTCCACCCGTCGCCGCGCACTGTCGTCCCTGCCACCATCCATTCACATACCCAACGACCACCACATTTCAAACGGTGTTTTACTGCCGCAATGGCCACACGTAACGTCACAACGCCTCAATGGCGTAACGTCCTTCACACACACGACCCAGATCTCAAACGTGCATGTTGGCACATACACACACACGCATACATACATACATACAAGCGCACACGTACATACTTACATACATACATACAAGCGCACACACGTTGACGTCGATCGCTCCATTCTTCTTCTGCTGTGTCATATAGATCTCGCGGCTGATGGTTTGGGTTCGTTGTCGGTTACCGGTAGTGGTTGCACATTTCCCCTAACCAACCAACCGCAGACAGCTCACCGGGTGGCAGCGGAGGGACGTTGGGACCGAATGCACCGTCGCTGCTGGCTTCGGACTCGCAGACCACGGTAGGATATGATGAAGCTTTGGGGGGCTGAAACTTCTGGTGTGGATGTTGGTTGGATTTGGGGAGTTGCACTCGCCGAACCCTGCCATCAACCGCTCTTGAACACAGCCGCTCTTGGAACCATGTTCCACATGCCGTACAACACATGGACGTATGGCTGACTTCGGTTTTTTCCTGGGAACTTGCCACTGGGAACCTCTTCTCGTTATTTCTAATAAAATCCTAAGCCGCGCGAGACCCTGTGGACATACACATGTCCGTGCCGTTCCTTTAGGTTGCTTCTATCTGTCACAACATTAAACCATACGCCATCTACACCAGAGGCACGCATCTCCATCTGCGTTACCCTCTTCTAACCATATGTAATTCACCCCTTACGTGTATGTCACCCACGTATGTATGTATGTAATCCCTCACGTAGAGAGACGACCGGGAGTTAGTTGAGGAGTTGCTCCGGCAGTTGGTGTCCAACGAACGGCTCATCGCGCGGCTATTGCGCAGTGATGCCTTTTTGGATCGTATGGCAGCGGATTCTGCCCTGCTGACGGAGCTGCAGAAGCGGCAGGGACTGCTGGTCCAGGTATGTATGTATGTATGTATGTTTGTTTGTTTGTTTGTTCGTACAAACATGTCTATGTTTTGTGTGCATTTTTGTTGTGTATTATCATCTGACATGGCGGCCACTGGCGAGGGACAGCTATCAGCTCTGGCATTGGCCAGGGGCAGATGGCCTCTTGAGGCCCTTCACGAACGAGGGGAAACTGCTAAACGGAGCAGCGTTCATCCGGCATCACGCAAAGCCGGGGGGAAGAGCGGCGCGAGGGGGGTCCGATACCCCATTTTGCGCAGTCTGGTGCCTTTTTTTCGTGTGTGTGTCCGCGTGTGTGTGCGCGCGCGTGTGTGTATGCGTGTGTATGTGTGTGTGCGTGTGTGTGTGTGTGTCTCCGCGCGCGTGTGTGTACACGTGTATGTGTGTGTGTGTTTGAGCGTGTGTGTGTGTGTATGTGTATGTGTGTGCGTGTGTGTGTGTGTGTGTGTCTGTGTGTGTGTCTCTGTGCCTTGAGCAGGCGCGGCTGCGCACCCTGAGTGGGGATAGGGTGGGTTCTGGAATGGGTGGTTGTGGTTGTTCGTTGATTGTGTACGTACGACAGGTTGTACGGCCCGGATGGTTTTGACATGCGTGGTGGGCGGATGGAGGAGCATATGTGTGCGTGCCGGTTGGGACAAATATACCTATTTCTGTGCCTCTTTCACGTTCATGCCCGCCTTACTGAGTAGTTGCCAACTGTGGCAACTGGGCAATGGTACTGTTCCGTAATGGGGTAACGAACTAAACTGCCTTTCGGTTGGTCGTACCATCCCCAGCTTGCGTCGCATGGGGAGGCTGCCGTCGTAGCGGTGGCTGATGCTGCCAGGGCGATGGCGGAAGAGGCAGTGGAGGAGGAGCGCGCCGCCGCGGCAGCAGCGGCGGCGGCGACGCCGTTAAGTAACCTCATCGCTACGATTGCCGATGCGCCAGTTGACCAGTTGACCGACTTCGCAACTGCATCAGCGCCGTCGTCGCCATTGTCGGCAAAATCGGCGGATGATACGCAGTCCGCCTCGTCGGCGGTTAGGCTTGTCTTGGAGCTGGCGGCTCCGCCAGTGTCAGTGTTGTCGACGGAAGTAGCGTCGGCGGTGACGGCGGCGCCACAGTCGCTGTTGGTGGCTGCGGAGCTGTTGGAGGATTGCGAGGAGCTGCTCGAGGCTATCGGTAAGCGTTGAGGCGGCTGAGGTTCCTGGACCCAGGAACTATTGACCCATGGGTCAGTGGAAGCTGTGGTACTCGCAGCTGTGATCCAGGATGAATTAGGTGAAGTGCTGTTTTTGAAGCATCTTCACCGATCAGGTATCGTAAATCATTATTTAATTTTGTGGTATGTATATACATATGTATGTGTGTGTGCGTGTGTGTTTGCCTGGAGCGCAGAGCTACAGCTCGCACCCGACAGCGGTGCAAGCAGTGCTAGCAGTAGCGACAGCGACATTGCAGAGACCGTCGCCATTGTGGCAGTAGCGCCTGCGACGGCCGCAGCTGAAGCGGTGGCCGAGGCACCTGATGTAGCGGCGCCGGCGCCGGCCGCTGTAGCTCAGATTGCGGCTGCGCCTGCCGCCGCCAATCTGAACACCGCTGACGCCGGCGGCTTTCAGGAGACGACGGCGGCTGAGGCTCTGATTGCGGCCATGGCGGCGGCTCCGACGGTGGCGGCGGCTGCGGTCCCAGCATTGGCGCCGACGTCAGCAGGAACGGCGGAACCGTTTGTTGTAGTCGCGCAAATGCCCGCCGCCTCTTCCGCTACTGCTACTGCTACTGCTGCGGCGATCGTTGACGGCACCGTGTATGACGGCGATGACGATGGCCCTGTGCCGTTGGACGCAACGGTTGCGGCGGCGGTGCCGAAGCCAGCGGCGGTGCCGCCGCAAGCGGTGCTGTCAGCTGCCGTGCCCGTTTCCAACACGATCATCCTCGAAGGTGCGTGCGGCCGCAGGTTTGTTGTGCATTCATTGCCCTGATGATGGGCAGCGTGCGGCCGCAGGGTTGCGCCATCCATTTGTGCGCCATGTGTAGGATGTTGAAATGAAATAAAACGACGGGTAGTCCAACCCCCTCCCTTCACACCGGAGTACGCTTCCTAGGATTCCTAGGAGCTGTGACTTCAGGAAGAGTTGCGCCACGGTATGCATCATGTACGAGGGTACGTTGCGGTGATGATGGTGCATCGACGTGCGAGCATCGAGGCTGGTCGATATCACCTAAACATCAAAATAAGCTTGGAACTCGATTCCTGACATTTCCCGCCGCTCCCCCTTGCTGAAGGTGTGAACTACGAACAGGTGGATTGGCCTGGGGTTGTCGTACTGCTTCACAAGCTTGTGCACAAACACCAGCTTAAGGCCTAGGGTAAAAAGCCCTAGGTCTTTTTTTATTTAAAAAAATAGAATTCAGGAAATATTTTTCGTCACCATCGTGACGGTTGCCGTCGATGCGCATGTGTATTGCAGGTGCCGTACGAGACGCAGAACAGGTTGTGGCCAAAGCTATTGATGGGGCTCCAGAACCATTGGTTGGATTGCAACAGGCACTGGCTGCGGTGTACTCGCTGCAGCCGGTGGAGGAGCTGGAGGCGCCGCCGCCGCCTCCGCCGCCCATGAAGGCCTTTGCCGCCGCCAAGTCTCCTGCGGATGTCATTGCGGAGGTGGCGGAGGCGGCGGCGGTGCAGGCGGAGGCGACGTCGGGTGTGGTGGCGGTGGCGGAGCAAGCCATGAATGATATGGCGCTGGCAATGTCGGACCTGGCGGCAGCGGCAGAAGAGGCCGCGGAAGCAATCGCAGCGGTGGCGGAAGCGGCGGCTGTGGCGGTCGATGTACGGCAGGCGGACATGCCGTTCGTTGGGGAGGCCAAGGTGGCTGCGGCAGCGGAGGCGGCGGCTGTAGTGGCCAAGGCTGCGGAGATGGATTCACTGGCTGTTGCGGACATTGCATTCGCGGTGTCGGACATGGCGGCGGCTGTAGCGGAGATCGCGGACGCAGCGGCGGCGGCGGTGCCGGCGGCGGCCGCGGCGGTTGAGGTGGCGGAGGAGGTCAAGCCGGGAGAGGCCGCATTGCTGGCGGCTGAAGAGGTGGGGAGAACTGCGGGGACGGTGACGGGGTGTGGAGGGTGTGCATGTCGTACCTCCTTAAAATGTTGCTCTCGGGAGCCGGTGCCAGGTATCTCACGTGGCACAGTGTACGGCATGTGTTTCGCTGTGTGGCCTGCTTGTACCTGAGATATGACTTGGGTGCCTGTCTGCTCTGTGTGTCTGTCGTCCTGTCTGTCTGTCGTCCGCTCGTCTGCACTTCCGCTTGTCCGTCTGTCTGTTTGTCTGTCTGTTTCCCGTGTATCTTGCCACCCCTCCCCGCACCCCTGTCCAGGCCAAAGAGCATTGTGACGGATGCATGCTAACGCGCTTGATCATTCATGCGCAATCCTACCAGTGCCCGCTCGCCTGGTTCCGGGATCATAAACCGTCTCAAAGACTATCATCCCACTACTTCACTTCACAAGCTAGTAAAGGCCAGCTTGTAGTTCCATCCCACCCGACGCTTTTCACTGCCCTCTTGAATCTCATCACTGCCCTTTCGAATCTTATCACTGCCCTCTTGAATCTCATCACTGCTCTTTTGAAACGTGCACCGCAGGCGATGCCGACGACGGCTGACGCCTCCAAACTGGTGGCTATGGCGGATGTCGTCGAGCAGTTGGCGGTCGCCGTGGCGGAGCGTGCAGACGCCGTAGCCGACGGGGCCGCCCTGGTGGTGGAGGCGGCAGAGGCCGCGGAGGCGGCGGCGGCGGCCGGCGGCGGCGCCATGGCAGCCAAGGAGGCGTTGGCGACGGCGGCGGCGGTGGCCCAGGCGGCCGCGGCCGCACCTGCCATGGAGCTCACCGTACTGGCGGACGTTGCGCGCGATGTGGCAGAGGTGGCGCAGGAGGTGGCGGACCTAGCGGCGAGCAATGCCAAGGCGGCGGAGGCTGCAGCGGAAGTGGTAGTGGCGGCGGCGCCGGCTGCCAAAACGGGCTTGGTACGGCCAGTTAGCCTCGTCTTTATCATCGAGACCCCGCCACACCACCGCACCCCCTAGATGCGCGAACCCTCCTAGCGACTCTCAGCACTTCACTGCCCATCCACCCACTCGATAAGATAGATCCTTCGCGCCGCCTTGCGCTTTGTTTGGTCCTCCGCGCTTAGCCTAAATCAGAAAGCCTAAATCAGAAAACCTGAGCCCCGGCTTCACCTTGACTTATGCATGACAGCGCTTGCATGTACATATGTAACCATCGGGGAAAAGGTGTCTAAAACCCTAAAAGCCTTCAAAAGGACTGGACTCATAAGAAATAATTTATAAGAAATTTTCCTCGGTGCTTCCGTCTACTTAACTCAGTTTCTCTCGGTTGAGTTACTTAGATATTTTCCGTTGACATGCATTCCATGCGTACAAACAAAATATGGGAAGAGGAGTTGAGCCCTGTGTCCCTGCGCGCGCCCGCGTGATGGTGGGTGGTTCTCTTAATGATGACGGCGTGTGCAGGCGGCCTTGGCGCCGATGTCGGCCTCTGAGAAGGCGGCGTTGGAAGAGCTTAAGGTTGAAGCAGCGGAGACGGCGGCGGCGGCAGCGGCAGTTGTGGCGGCGGATGCCCAGGTGCGCTGAAAACGAGTGCTCCAACAGCAGGAACTCGTGAGCTGCGACCAACGAAATAATGCTACAAGTTTTATGTTACTGTTACTTGAGTCGTTAGTGAAATATTTTCCTGGGATGCCATGGTGATCACTTTCTACTGCAATACACGTCAGACAACATTTGCCGTACTGACCGGTAACATGTCGCGTCATATGACTGACTGTAGCATCGACGAAGCATGTGCGTACGGCCTATTTTGCTGTACATCCTTGGCCTGCATCTGTACTGGCCTGCACCTATTTGCAGTACACCCCTGGAAGCACGTGATGCACCTATGCACTCACTCATACAAGCATTCACATAATTTTTATTACATTTGGAGCATCACACACAATCATACACATGTGGCATACATACATACATTTGCATGCAGCATACAGCATTTGGGAAGGCTTCATGCAACGGGAGCGGCGGAGAATCACAACGCTCTTGCCAAATCCCTCAGCAATAGCTCTCAATGGCTTATTGCTCACTATTATACACCTTTTTTGACTGCCACTTATATAATAGAGACTCCGTGCTTTACGGGTCTTATCCTCGATATTGTTTGTGCCGTACGTCAAGCTGTGTCGTCCTGTGTCATGTCGTACGGTGTATTGGATGTCGACTTGCTGCAGGCCATCGCAGACGCCGCCAAACTGGCAGCGGATGTGGTTTCGGAGCTGGCTGGAGATGAGCCTGTCGAGGCGTTGGCGGAGGCTAAGGAAGCTGCTGCGGCAGCGGCCGCTTCCATCACGCCATCGGAAGAGTCTCTGCTTGGGACGTTGAGTGCTTTCACACCACCGTCAGAGCGAGTGCCCGCGGTGCCTAACGCAATGCTGGGTGCATCTGCTGCAGCATCTCCTTCCGCGGTCGTAGCTCCGGAACCGGTCAGCGAAACGGTGGCAGTGGGAGTTGTGGAGAAGGGCAGCACTGCCGGTGCTGCAGCCGGAAGCGAAGCTTGAGGTAAAACCTGAGCCGGTCAAAGCCGAGTCGAAGCCCGAGCCAGTCAAGGACGAGTCGAAGCCTGAGCCGGTCAAAGCCGAGTCGAAGCCCGAGCCGGTCAAGGACGAGCCAAAGCCTGAGCCGGTCAAAGCCGAGTCGAAGCCCGAGCCAGTCAAGGACGAGTCGAAGCCTGAGCCGGTCAAAGCCGAGTCGAAGCCCGAGCCAGTCAGGGACGAGTCGAAGCCCGAGCCGGTCAAAGCCGAGTCGAAGCCCGAGCCGGTCAAAGCCGAGTCGAAGCCTGAGCCGGTCAAAGCCGAGTCGAAGCCCGAGCCGGTCAAGGTCGAGCCAAAGCCTGAGCCGGTCAAAGCCGAGTCGAAGCCCGAGCCGGTCAAAGCCGAGTCGAAGCCTGAGCCGGTCAAAGCCGAGTCGAAGCCCGAGCCAGTCAGGGACGAGTCGAAGCCTGAGCCGGTCAAGGTCGAGCCAAAGCCTGAGCCGGTCAAAGCCGAGTCGAAGCCTGAGCCGGTCAAAGCCGAGTCGAAGCCCGAGCCGGTCAAGGTCGAGCCAAAGCCTGAGCCGGTCAAAGCCGAGTCGAAGCCCGAGCCGGTCAAAGCCGAGTCGAAGCCTGAGCCGGTCAAAGCCGAGTCGAAGCCCGAGCCGGTCAAGGTCGAGCCAAAGCCTGAGCCGGTCAAAGCCGAGTCGAAGCCTGAGCCGGTCAAAGCCGAGTCGAAGCCTGAGCCGGTCAAAGCCGAGTTGAAGCCCGAACCGGTCAAGGCCGAGCCGGTCAAGGCCGAGCCAGTGAAGGTCGAAATCGCTGTGGATGCTGGGGCACCTGCTGCCAAGTCAGCAGCTGCAGAAGCTGTCATTCCTACAGCACCAGTCACCGTACCCGCAGATTCGAGTGCTGCTTCTGCTTCCACGACCACGCTGTCCACCTCTCCCGCTCAAGAACCTGCTGGAGAGGCGGATAACGCGGCTGTACGGAGACTGTTGGAGCTGGCTCCGGAGCTGGGCGTGGCGGGAGCTGCCCTTGCGCTGGCCGTCCTAGGTCCTCGCTTTTACCGGGATGTGGTGGTTCCAGAGCTGGAGGCAAACCAGGTGGGTGGCTGGTTGGTTGGTTGGATGCAGGTATTTCATAGACAGGTACAGAATCGAAACAGGTGCTGTCGACAGCATGCACTGCACTACACCCACCCGCGACGTCATAGTAATGTTTTATTCCTCAAAAATATTAAGTAAAATAGAAAAATTAAAAATGAATACCTAATTGAAGCTCGGTAATAATATACCTGCGTGTTGCTGTGGGGGCGATCTAAAACCTGATTGGTTCAGGGTTTTCCGGGTTTCCATGTCGCCCTACCTCAACCCTTCTGTCGTGGCTTCTGTCGTGTCGCAACCCATCGGTAGCATTATACGACCAGGCCCTGCTGCCCTGCAAAGTACAGTGAATCCGGCAAGTAAGCTTCACAGGCTTCTTACCCGAAGCCCGCCATTCAGCGACGTATTAGAACCCAAAACTGACCACCGCAAGCCTGCCTTACGTTCGACTGCGCAGGTCCGGCGGCGGGTTCAGGAGCAACGGGAGGCTGAGCTGCGACGTGCGCAGCGGGAAGCGTTGTTAGCTCGCGCGCGTGCCAACAGCCGCCGGCGCTGATTATAATGCATGGGCTGCGGAGCAAGGAAGACCCGGGAACTGGGAACCGTGCCAGCTTCCTGCTGTGGGGGCTGCTGCTTCCTTTGCTTCCGCGATGGGTGGTAGCTGGTGCTGCCGCTGAGTTTGAATAGTTGGCTTGCGCATCCTGTCTTAGGCTTGTGGGTTGGGAAGCCTAAGGGAATTTGAGCGGTGTTTTATTTTAGCACGTGTGCTTGATTGTTTTGTGTTTTTGTGTGTCTGATGCTTGTAATGTGCGCTATGTGCAATAGCAGGGAGCAGGTCAACCTGGTAGGTGATCGAAGTTGTTCGTCAAATTAGAGCACGAGTAGTCATTATTGTGTGAGGATACGATGCCTTATGTGCAGGCATTTGGTTTGTCATTTGATTTTTTCCACTTGTCATTCTGTTGTGGCAGCGGTTGCGGTGTTGGCGCGAGTTGACTTGACGGCTTGGCGGGCCCAGCAAGATTTGTGCCTCGTGCGTTGTCCTGTGCGTGCCAGAACATGCCAGCTGCAGGGATGTTGAAGGCGATGTTATTACTGTTGGATGCTATTCTTTTGCTGATGCCTGTGGTTGCGCTTTTGTTATGCGTTTGTTTTGAGGAGGTATGTGTCTTTGGGGTACGTTCCCGTGTAGTATTAAAAGGACACGTGTATGTACATCTGTCGAAAGGTGGGGAGGAGTGGCAGGGGCAGCAGGGGATGTCAAGGTTGCGAAAGGAGAAGGCGTCTTCCTGTTACATGATCTGGTGCACTAATCTCTTCACCATGAGGACTGCATCGCCATGTTTAAACCATTTGCAGCAGGATTGGTAGCATCATGCAGCATGTAGCGACATCCTGTATATGGGTAACCTGTGAGCGGCAAAGTGCGTACCTCCAGCCAAACGTTGCGAACAATAATAATCACTAATAATAACCGAATGCGTTTTGCAGCTGGAACCGTGCGTTTCCCTCCAGTGGTGTAACACGCCTATAAAGCCTGAGTTGGATGGGGCCAGCAGCAGCAGCAGTAGCAACAGCTTCTGCAACACAATGCCGACGTCGACGTCGCGCCATGCCTCCTACTTTTCCAGGTTCGGTGCTGCTTCCGTGGGTGTGGGTCTTCGCCCCGCGCACCAGTCCAGCCACACTACTGCTGCACGCACCACAACGTACCACTGGTAAAGTCGGCATGTTTCCTGTGACTTCTGCGGCAGCTGCGGTTGCGCACAGGAGGGATGGTGGAATGGACGTCTATGTGTCACGCATGTACGTATGTCCCTACTTGGAGGCGGGAAGCGCTAGGCCGAAGCTGCTCAGCTCGGCGAGGATCTCACCCCACGGGAACTACTAAAAAACCTAAATTAATCCTGAATAGGAGAGGTGCGCCATGTAGCGATCTGTCATAGTTTGCAGTGCTAGAAACACTATGGTCAGGTCCAGCGGTGGTTATTATGGTTGCGGCGGTTGGGTCCTGGATGTTCAGGTTTAGTTAAATCGGTGGCGTTCGTTGGCTCATCTTTCCGCTTCAGTCTGCAGTGAGCAGCGTGTACGCAGGTCAGCTAGCTCCTGGCTGGTTGGGCCGGACTTTGAAGGTTGCGAGGCAGGCCCCGCATGGATGCGGCCTATCTCACATGCACATCCAGGCGCTTAGAAATGGTCCAGAGGTTCGAACCCACCTGATCAAGCTAGGTAGGCATGCAGCAGGTGTCCAGATCATTAGCTACAGTATCACCCTCCACGGAAGCATGGAAACATAAAAAGCTAATCTTCTGCTACCGGGGCTTTACTTCTTGATGTCGGCCGTGCACATCATGTAAACTAAGTTTAGCAACTTCCTTTGTGCAACTTCCTTTTCATGTGAGGTTGATGCAACTGTTTGACCATCATGCACGTTGACCATCATGCAGCATTTGCAGTTACTGCCCACACTAAATCTTAAGATCGTGGCAGATCCGGATGTATATCCTCAATTACATGCACATCACTTGACAGGCAGGCGAGCATGCATGCATGAGTTAAAAATTCGATTACAGATGCCGTGCACTGCACCCATCTCTGCCACATGCAGCTAATATTCATCCACACATCCAAAACACGTAACTGCAATAACAACAATAGTAACAAACTTTTGCGTCACAAACATCTAGAGCTCTACCCCTCTGTATCAAAAGTGTGTAGCCCCCAGCCACGCACACAAATAAACAAACAGACACACAGACATACGGGCAGGAAAACTACGTAAGTTTTAATTATAATTGAAAGACAGACATACAGGCAGACACACTCCCGACATACAGCCACTCACACATTCCCTTTTCTCTCACGCAGCCTCTGTACCTCTCTCTCACACTCACACCGCTTGCCCATGGCAAATAGGCTCGCCAGGAGCAAGAACAGAGCCTCAAACGCTGCCCCCTCTGACTGCCTCTCTTCGCATCTCCTTAACACACCCCCAGGACCCCGACCCCCCGGGGCCATTCCCAAGTGCCCCGTACGTCCCGCCCCAACCATGTCAACCTAGTTGTGGCTCTCCGATCTCCTAAGCCCCGCGCAACCACGAGCACCCACATCCACACCCTGCGGTGTTTCCTCCATCGCCCACCCATGCACGAGCATCGCACATGATGTGCTTTTACCCCCACCAAATTTCCATAACCCAGCTAGCACAGCACACCGCAGCTGCGCCCTGTACATGAGCATGTCTGTGTATGCGTCGCTTGTGCATGCGTTCACATACCAATCGATCTTTCAAGCACTATCGTGTGCAAACGCGACCGAGCAGCCTGCTGACTGCATTACCCCGCCCAAATCCATCCTCGACCCAAACCCACTTTTCTCTTTTTTCCATCCATCACCTCCTCCCCATCGCCACCCCGATGCATTGGCTAAACCTCAATAGCACAGCTACTGCCAGCAAGCCGCCATGCTGCTGCTGCTGCTGCCAGGACGCCGTTGGGGTCCTCACTTTGTTCTCGATGTCAGATGTCACATCCCGACCCGCACCTCATCACACGCAACTCCAAATATTCATGATTAGGTGCCATCACAAAGTAGTGGTAGAAGAGCCAACAACAGGCTCCCGGGCTTAAGAACCGCAGCAGCAGCACCGCGTCCGGGAGCCTAACTCCTTACCATTCCTGCCATTTCTCCACTCCGCTTACTGGGGCGGCCCCCGAAACATGATGCAGCTGTTATGGCCGCCGAACCCGAAGGAATTCGACAGCGCAACCCTGCATATGTGTGTGTGGGCGGGGGGTGGGGGAAAGGGGGGAAAGGACAGAGGGTTGAAAGGTGACTGTACAGAAGAGGCAGTGGCGAACGCAAGGAAGGAGGAAGAACCTCATAACGAAGGTGTACAGGTCGGGCACGCAAGGGGGCATGATAGAGGGACATGCAGAAGCAGGGTATGAGGAATAAAAAAGGAAGGCACACACAACGATATGGTGTGTACCACCCTCCCCGAAGGAGGTAAGGAAAGGTGAGGTGTGTAGGTAAAGTATGTAATCCCGAGTTACGCCGGAGGCATGAGGAGCAGTGGCGAGCCCCGCCTGAAAAACTTTTCATCGTCTGTAGATCGCGCCCTGCTATAATTAGAAGTATAAGAGAGGTATAACCGTCTTTGGACTTCTCTTGCGTTTTGTTACCCATTTAGGACAGCCCAGACGGGCCACTGGACCTCCGGCTCGTAAGGGCCCCTAGGTTACTCGGGAATAACGGCACTCCAGAACAAGTGTGTAAAACACACAACAGAATGGAGGTCCCAATCCATAATATTCCAGGGCAAATCTCGTGTGCAGATGATAAAAAAATCGCTTTAAACAGACACCTGTGAGGTGGATAAATGCGGGGGGGGGGAGCAGACAAGGGTTGTCCTGCGGAGCTCTCTTCCCCCAACCACCCAGACGCGTGTCGATCCCTGCGTCCCACCGTCCACATTGGATAACACGCAACCCAATCCGTCACGTGCTGTGATGTCCAGGTTATTTGATTTCGCAATTCGGCATATGCTGTTCTGTCAGGCCATACCAGGCAGGCGGGCCATCAGAAAGGCACGCAATCACCGGGTTGCCTTATCAGGCAAGCAGGTAGGTAGGCAAGCAGGTAGGTAGGCAGGCAGGTAGGTAGGCCGGCAGGCAGGCAGGCAGGCAGTACATTAGCTGGCGGACACAGCACTCACTTGACTGGGTGGTGCTGCTTCACACCGGCCACCACACGAACTGGATCGACACCGTTCTCAGGGTCATGGAGGTTGATGGTGGGGTGCAGCCAGCCTGTTGACAGGGTGGGGAGTTGTTATTGAGTGGTTCTAACTTGGGGTTTATTTGAACTATGGGTTGGCGACCCATAGGTTTAAGCTCATGGACGGCTGGTTAAATTACTGGCTAGCTACCGGAAAGAAAACGATTGAGAGGAGGCGGACAAAATAAAAGACGACGCTGGCAAACGAAGGGAAAGACGAGCAATGGAAATAAAGGTAAGAGGATGCACCCAGGCAGACGAAGGGAGGCCAGGAAGGCGAAATTGAAGACGCACACGACGTCGGCATGTTACGTTGGCTAGTCTATGGATATAGTCAATCCCTCCGCACATTGTCCTTTACAGTCATTCCCTCAGTTTGTCTGTCTGTCTGTCTGCCTGTCCATCTATCAGTCGTTTTGTTGCGGCGATACGCACCTGTCTGGATGGCTTTGATTGCGGCGACCGCCTCCACTGCACCTGCACCACCCAGCAAGTGCCCTGAGGGGGGGTGGGAGGGAGAGAAAGAGCGGGGTTTAGGAGGAGGAAAGGTAGGTATGTAGTGAAGTAGGGAAGCCTGTCTGTCTGTCTGTCTGTCTGCATGTTTGCATGTGTATATGTATGTAGGTATGTATTTATGTAGGTAGGTAGGTAGGCAGGCAGGCAGGTCGACAAGTACTACGAAATGCGAGAATGTATGTATGTCTTAGATTACACTGTGGGCCGCGAGAGCCGGGGGCCGAAGCCGAAACACAGCGCAATGTATGTATGAAGCTGTGTGCAGCTCGGGGAAGGTTCAGCACAAAGCGGAGGAATGATGCGCGAGGAATTTATGAGGGGGTGAAAGGGGAATTTATGAGGGGGTGAGGGGCGCAAACGGGAAGAAGAAACCCTTCTCCCACTACTTCCCCTTGCACTTCCCCTCCTGAAATGAAGAGTTCAAGGACATTGCTTCCACAGAAGGAAACCATGTACCAACACTGTATGGTACCCCCCCCCCTCACCGATCATAGATTTGGTGGAGTTCATCCGCAGCTGCTCGTGATTGAACACCCGGTTGATGGCCCGGTACTCCGCCATGTCACCAGCCTGCGGTGTGCGTGTGTGCGTGTGCGTGCATGTGCGTGCATGTGTGTGCGTGCGTGTGTATTTAGCAGGAAAATGAAATCCGGTTTGTTACGTGATGGGAAGGGTTTGTCCTTGCAAAGGCCACCTTGTGGTGGACGCCAGGTCGCCAGGACCCATGGAAGGCACTCAAGGAGGCCAGGCGGGCAGACATACAGGCAGACATACAGGCAGGCAGATACAGAGGATGGGGCATGCAAGGATGCGATAACGAAGGCCAAAGGCGCCGGACACACAGCACACACACGCACACGCACACACACGCACACACACGCACACCTTCACCGGGTCAGGTTGTACGACAAGGAAACACACACTGGCACACGGCATATCTATCCTCGCGCGCGTCTCCTCAGGCACCTGCGTTGACGTGGCATGTGCGTTGACGTAGTTGACATCCTCCGCAGAGACCCCCGAGGATGCCAGAGCGCGCTCCAGGCACATGATGACGCCTGCGGGGTCGGTGGTTGCAGTTACTTCACCGTTGGTTAAGTTGGTTAAGTTACCAAGCCATTCATCGTGGCTGTCCCGTAACTGCCAGTGCTCAATCACCGCAACCCACTTATTGAGCATATTGAGATATCTGAGTTACAATATGCACGCAATCTGTGTCATCCCGCATATCAGCCATATATTTCCATCACCCTTACCTACAGCGCCCGCTTGGCCTCCCCTCTCCCTCTCCCTCTTCGTGCTCCCTGTTCCCGAGCCCACCCCCTGTCTCCGCCTTTTTTCCTCCCCCCTCCCTCCCCGTCATTCCCGCCAGCCCCCCCACGCCTTTCCCACTCACCCTTCCCCTCTGGCTGGGGTTCCGTCATGTGGTGCGCGTCGCAGGTGAGCGCTCCGCCCACGTACTCAGCGTAGATGGGGGCCCCACGTGCCTTGGCGTGTTCGTACTCCTCCAGAACCAGCACGGCTGAAGTGACCCATGGGTCATGGGAGGGTCAAGGCGGAATTGCGGAAGGGGCAGATCAGGAGAGAATTAAGGCCTGGTTAGGGGGGGGGCCCTTTACATCACCCTGTTTATTGTTTGCAGGGGACATATTTCCAGAGCCCCGACCTTTCCTCACACGCACCCCACATACACCACCTGCACACTGAGTAGTCCTCACCCGCGCCTTCGCCCATCACGAAGCCGTCCCGGTTGGTGTCCCATGGCCGGGAAGCTGACGCTGGATCGTCGTTGCGCTTGGAGAGGGCCTGCGAACGAGCACGTCCGACGGGGCGTACGGGTGTCAGAAACTGAAAACCAACTCAACCAAACTTCCATCAGCTTGTAGAGCATCCGACAGGGTCTGGGAAGTGCACCAGATTCGATGATGAGAGATGAGCAACATGCAAGTTCTTAGACTCCGTGGCAAAAAACCTTGTCACAATGTGTCTGAAAGGCGCGAAGGCTGGACTGCATGCTTTGGAATAATAGACTATCCAGCATGATACTTGTATGTACGTAAATACCTACATGTAAAAGTGCGAGTGTATGTTTGTATGTTTGTATGCGTGTGCGTGTATTGTCTGTGGGTTGCTGTAAAGTTGGCCGCCTGACATGTACACTTTCCACGAGGGTTAACCACCCAGGCAACCACAACCAACGAGCAAACCAACGGTACAACGGTACAAACCTTGCACGCGATGAAGCCGCCGATGCCCGAGGGTATGATGGCGGCGTCACCTGCTCCCGCCAACATGAGGTCCGCATCGCCCCGCTTAATGTGCTCCGCAGCGCTGAAGGGAGGGCAGGGCAGGGCAGGGCAGGGCAGGGCAGGGTGGGCGGGCGCGGCGGAAGCGTACAGTGGTGGTAAGAAAGGACCGCGTGAAGAAGACCTCCAGGAGCTCAAAGAACTGTCCTTCGGGGAATGTGTAAAACCCCGCTGGGTTCTACACCCCTCTGGGTGCGACAGTAGTGGCACGGTGGTCCAGTTTGCAAAGTACACACGCACACACACACACACACACAAACAAACATACAGACAAACATACATACATTACATACACATGTATACACACTCTGCGTCCGATTAGGCCCTAGGAGCTTCCCAGAGGCCATTCGACTATTCGGACAGTTACAGTCGTTTTATCGGTGTACCCGTAACGGCACCGAAAACACGTTGATCCGTTATGTGGGGCCCTGGTTTGGCGGGCATCTGGGTTACCTTAGGATGCAATAGTTCCCGGTAGCGCATGCGGTGGAGATGGAGTAGTTGGGGCCCATGAAGCCCAGGTCCATGGCCAGCATGGCGCCTCCCATGTTGGTGATGGCGAAGGGAATACAGAAGGGGTTCATCTTCCGGTAGCCTGTGCGGTTGGGGTTCGTGCCGTGTGGTAGGGAGCAAGGGAAAAGTACCAGACGGAGGACGTAGGGGTCAATATGGGGACATGAACTCCAGGGGAGCTTACGGGTGGCGATGTTGGTGACGTCGATCACAGAAAGGGTTAACTGTGGGGCATTCTACTCAACTTCTGTGTAGGGGGATGATCCTCACAACAGAAACAACGACTGAGCTACCAAGTACTAGCTACCAATCGCTGTCGCACTATCTCTTCCCGTTTCTCTCACACATACATACATACATCCAAACTTAAACATATTAATAAGCACATGAGCACATATACACCTGCGGTCTCCAGCGCCTCCACCGCATTGGCAAAGCTGGTCATGCCGCCCATGGCCGTGCCGATCAGCGTGCCGCAACGCATGCGATTCAGATCCTGCAAGGTTTCATTGCCGTACAATCGCCGTTGACGGTTTTTGCTCAAAGTTAGCTCTGAGGAGGCTCCCGACTATTGCTGTTGCCTTATTCTGGTTTCCTTTTCCGCGGTTCATGAACTCATCTTCAAAATCTCCACCATGCACCGCAGGAACCACGTACTTGGTCAGACGCCTTGGTCAGACCTTTTCACCGCCATCTATTTGCTTGTCCATACCTTGCTTATCATTTTTTCCATCCTCCCTTCCCATGCAGCTTTACCCTTGGCCCCTAGCCTGGGTGAGAGTTCTTCCCTTCTATAACCCAGACCGACCCAACCGGCAGCTTCAGGTCGTGTATCCATAAAACCCTTTCCCCGCGCAACGACACCACACCCACACCCACACACACAGCCACCCCCCTCCATCCCATGTACCTTAAGAGCGGGCCCGTCCCACGCCAGTCCGGCATCGCCCAGCGCCTTCTTGCCCGCCACTATAATATACTTAATCACGGCATCCACACGCTTCTCAAACTTTTTGGAGATGTAGCCCGTGCAGTCCAGGGACTGTCGTACACAGCATGACATATCCGACAGACAAATACGGGGCATGTGCACAGAATTTGACGCCATATAGATATATGTACGTATCAAGTGGCAAATGAAAGCTGCGGATGTAGTACGAACGGAAGAAAGAACGTGAACTTCAATTTGAACGAGTTGTAGGATTGAAAAAGCATGTCGTGGATGGTGTTGGGTTCGGAGTTTCTCTTGGGCTAAACACTAGTTGGTCCCTTAAATGTAATAAGAAGCAGTAGTACAGGCCGTCCGAAAAGCCAGGCCGGGACGCGTTTCCTCTCCACAACAGGTTATTATTGCACGCGCACGTCCAGCCGGCCACCCTTTTTTGCTCCGGTACCCAAATGCACATAATGCGACACACCTCTGCGATGTCCATAACTGTCACATCGGTCATGAAATGTAATCTGGAGTCTTCTAACGATGCGAGATGGGAAATTGAAGTCAAACCGCAGCAGGAAACGTGACACGACACACGACACAACGTACCTTGATCTCCCCAGCAAATCGAGTCGTGTAATCGGACGCATTGAAACCCTTAGGGGGTTGGCAAATAAATGAAAGAGGAGAGGAAGTGAGTGAAAAGGATTGCGATTTGGCTGCGGGGACGGGCGAAAACCGAAGATTCGGAGGTTGAGTGGGGTAGCGCATTGACAACAAAATCGCAAATGCACCATTACATCCCTCACTTTGTAACGGGTGCCGATGGTGCCTTTCGGATCCAGGAGTACGGCCAGTTCGTATATTAGTGCTAAGGTGCGCCGTACCGTACCTCAATGTACGAGATGCCACTCTTGCCCGCCAGCAGGTTGTTGTAGAACTCCTCATGCTCGTGTCCTAAACAAGACACAACGCCCATGCCCGTAACCACGACCCGACGCGGTGTTGTCTCGGTCTGCGTTGGGCGGCGGCGAGGAGGTTGATTGAAGAATAGAAATGCAACACATAATACACCTAATCGCTCGATCCGGATTAAATAAAAGAGCAATAGCAACAACTCGGGAACCTTTAAGCCCCTTTATAATAATATGATGATCAGAGGCCGCTAAGTGCACCCCGTGTAAACGAACCCTGTATGGATGACACGCATCGCACAGATCGCGAAGTGCTTCCAATTTTTTTCCATTCACGGGTCGGCCCCAGGACGTGCTTTTACGAACGTGCCCCAATTTTATGTGAAACGTGTAACTTGCAACTACTTGCATTTTGCGCGGCGTCACTCACTGAATAAAAAGCCCTGGAGCAAACGATTAGGCAGGTCTAAGTAAGGCCCACACAAGATTGTCCATTGCGGCGTTGTTTCCCTTCCCCACTGCCTCTCCATTCCCACGGCCACCATAGCCATGCAAGGAAAGAAAAGCCTTGGATGCCCTTTCGAAAAGGTTCCCGAATGCAACCGTCCAATAGATCAATGTCCCAGAAGACTGCCCGGACCTGATTACACCCAACCACACATACATACATACATGCATACATATATATACACACACGCTGCCCCTTGGGCCCCCTCACGGCTCGTATGGGCCCGTTACGCTTTTCCAGGTAACTGCTGCTACTGCTATTGCTGATGGTATTGATGCCAATTATGATGATGGTGTACTGCTACCGTTGCTTCCGTTGCTGCGGCCGCTGGAGGATGGGAGCGAGACCCTAAGAGCCCTAAGCCAAGAATCGGGACCAGAATCGCCGTACTTGCCTCTCTTTCCCCCCCCCCTTCCGGGACTCATGGAAGGATCAGCGCTGCTGGCCGACAATTCTTCCCGATGCGGTGTCAGTACGGTGCTAGTACGGCAATATGGAGTATACATGCCTACGAGTCGAGCCGTGCGTGGCTCTCTGCCGCGCTGCTCTGCACTGCTCGAGACCATATGGGCCTACCCTAGCATTGCCTCGTGCACTACCCTTCCTAGCCTATCCAACTGGCCTAGGCTGGCGTTACCTCCCGTACAACACCCCACAGTCCCTATCCTCCTCGCTCCAGTCCATTCCCAATGGCCCTTAGGAGGCTTCCGGGGTTCGTGCTCAGTGCTCGGGTTTCGGAGCACCACATGGGTAGCAATCGCGATGTGGGCCTACGGCTACGGGGTTGTCTGTCCAGGACCCCATGTTGCCCAGGTCTGTTATAAAGTTTGATGAGCCCGTGGGGTGCAAGATTTCGAAGGGTTGTGGGGAGCTTGGAGGGTTTGCTGAATGGGAAAGCTGACGTGCGAGGACGCGACGTACCGCGTGTGCTGCTGGCAGCTGGTGTAGCTAGCTTGTCACGCCGTATCTCACCTTTGCCAGGTCATGGACTGCGGCAGTGGCGACCACTCGAGGCGCGCGAGGGCAGCGAGCGCGATAAGGCAGCTGCGTCGTAGGAGGGGAGGAAAGGGGGATGCACCGTGTAGCGCGTGTGAGGACGGAGGAGGCGCTGTGCAAGGAAAAGGACGTTCGCGGCACGAGATGTTTGGCGTTTTGTGCGCGCGGTTGGAAGGTGTCGATGCCAAAAGGCTGCCAGGCGTTAGGCGCAGGGCGTGCTGACGTTTGCGAAGGAATGGTCCTTGCAAGTCTTGCGAGATTGCGAAGAGACCTACCTTGTCCCCGAATGCCCGCTGCTTGTTCAGCATTTGTCCCTTCACACCTGCACCCCAGGTCAAGGACGGCTATCAAGCTGCTTCCCGGTGGCCAAGAACCTTGGCGCGCTGCCGGGCAGAGGCAAACGCACCTAGCATTCGCCGCCGCGCTTGCGTTTTTTGCCAATGTGCACCAAGAAATGTGATCAAATCTACCAGGCCTAAGTCCACAGTTAACAATAACGTTAAACGCCGTGGTATGCGCACTAATGCATTAAAGCGCTGGCGTTACGCCGCAGCACACGCAAGCAAACAGACGTGAAACGCAAAGAACAGTAATACTCAATGCTTTAACCTTCTATAAGTATAAAGTTCTTAATGAAATGCGCAGGACCGCATGAAGGGTAGTTTCCAGACCGGATCTTCCACGACGAACGAGCATGCAAAGTAGTGCAGCCAGCCCATGACAGCAGTTACGTTTTGCATTACTCCATTTCCTATTTCGAAATCAGTATAATTGTTTGTCCATCTATGCCGTTTTACAAAATCATTGGGAGAGCAAAGAAGCTCTGCCACAGACTCTCTACTGCCTTGTCTATGACCGTGTTACCATCAATGCCTTAGGTGGTTTGTTAAAGGAATTTCTATGTCTTGCAAGCGTTTGCGTTAGGCCTTGACCACCTCTTTTCCAAAAAAATAGCCGAATCTCTCAGCCTTCAAAGGCGTACAATAAAATTGAGCAAATTACTGGCTTCGGCATGTAGAGCGTGGCTGCTATGTAGCTCATCGGGCTCGCCTCCACACTGAGGCTACAATGCTCAGAGCGGGAATATCTAAGTACCGAGGGTGGACAGGCGCGCTGTTCGCATGAATCTTAGCTATTTTTTTGCAAGCAGGGCTTGATTTGTAGGTAACCAGGCGTTGCGCGCACCGTATCCCAAAAAATCCTTCATGTTTGGGTGCGCGTGGTAAGTGCGGCAACTGTTCAGAGCCCTACTGCATCGCCCTACCCGGTCGTAGTCCAAACCCACCGCTCCTGAAGGCCTGAAAGTAGCGGTGCCTTTACGATGTCTTGGTCTCTGCGGCTTGCCATGCACGCCTTCACGGCACGCGACTGTATGTATGTATGTATGTATGTATGTATGTATGTATGTATGTATGTCTACTTCGAGCCCGCGCTCTCGTTATTACCCGTTTACATGTGCACATATATGGGCTGAACCTGCCAGATGCCACCCCGCCCCTAGCAATCCGACAATTGCCTCGAACTTATGAAAAGAACGAAATGCACGTCGTGCACTGGTGTTCGCTTCATTCCCTTAATTGCACGGCATCCGACGGTCCCTGAGGCTGCTTTATATGGCTTTGGGGTACATGACGGCTCGGCTCGCGTGCCAACACCGTATGGCTACTTGAGTGTATTATCCGCTTTCATGCCGCAGTGGCTTGGGGGCTGGGCAGGACTAGGTGGTCAGTAGACAGTGACGAAGCTGCAGTGTGGCGGATAAAAAGGAAAGGCGGTAGCCTCTGATATAACAGACGGCGCAAACGGCGCTTTCCATCCTTTGCAAGTCCCGAAGCTTGCCGTCTCCAGCAACAGAGGATTCTGCGTGTGGGATTGGTAAACGTCAAGTAAGGTAAAAGCCTCCGGTATAAGAGCCGTGCGTTAAATGCCAGTTCTAACCGAGGGCAAAACTGATGCCGTACAGTGTGCAGTACAATTGCACAAGAAGCTGGATACGCGTGTTGGATTTCCAAGCTACGGACGATATTCCCCCATAAGGAACGTAGGACATGTGTTCAATAGCGAGTTGGTTGTACAGAAAGTCTTCTGTGACGTGCGATGTGGCGCCATGAGCTCAGAATGAGAGATTGACCAACTACCAACCAGTTTCAATAAGGTGCTGTACGAACGGCCGTTGTACCAAACAACAACCGCGTCAACCACCAGCAGGGTTGTGATAATCAGCACATGCGGCGGTGCACCGGCGGTTATTTCATACAATAACAACAACATTCGCGCAACAACAACGACAACAACATGCAGTCAGGATGCTGCCCGTCCAAGCAAGGGCCGAGGCAACCCACCTGCCGTAATAACGGCAACGGATTTCTTGCCGTACAAACGGTCGTAGCATGAGGCCTCCATTGGTTCGTCATTATGGTTCAAGCAGTTAGTTACGTTATTGGTATGTCTTATTAGTATTTCTACACTCACGACTAAATAAAAAGCATCTCCGGTCATTCATTCTCCATTCAGAATACATGCTCCCCCTCCAGCGCTCCGCTCCCACTCACACCCGCTGACACAGCCCCCCCAAGAGACCGGCAGAAAGGAAATCAGAAAGGGAAACGTACGGCTCACACCTTCTAGTGCTGTCGTACGCCGGTCGTATGCCTCAGTGAACTCCGCCAACCGCACACTCTCATGTTTCGGTTCCTCACCGAGTAGTAGAGAAAAAGTCAGCAAGCAGCGCGCATCCCGGAGCCACTTGGATTGAACTGTCGAAAGGACCGAACAAGCAACCCCAATAACGAGCTTTCCAACGACCAGCACTCCTGGTGCAGCTGCTTTCTGACCCAAACCCTAACCACATCGGAAGAGAAAGACGAAAAACAGATACCGTGAATACACCCACGTAACAATTGCATGACTAGTAAGTTATCGGAACTTTAACTTCTTCGGAACCGGCAAATACTCGGCCGGCAGCAGCTTCTGCATGTAGCACACAGTACCGCAGCTAGCGGCACTAATTTGCCGCATCAGAACCGTGGGTACCATGCCACTCGCAAGCAATTACATCGTCGTAAAGGGCGTGCAGCTGGATGCCCCAAACTATCCAGAGGTCCCATTATCAACACGTGAGACGCCCCCGCCCATTTCCCATTTCTGCCGTGTTCCGCCATCAACGCCAAAGAAGAATGGCTAAATTGCCAAAACAGGCAACGCTTCCCGGGGATGAGCTGAAGCCCCAGGCAGGCAGGGTGAGGACGACCATAAGGGGTGTCAATTCGTGTTCCGCAAGTGTGTATGTTGGGGTAGAGGTGATGTGTGAGGATCGGGGGGAGTTTGTGTGTATCGGGCCATCATCAATCACCCAGGGACATACATACATACATACACACATGATGCCCCGTGATACGCCCGGGACGGTTCTTTCCTGCTCTCACACAGGTCGCCGCAGGTCGCAAGTATCCACAGCCACTGCTGCTAGTTGCTTTCTGACGTTGCTTTTGCCGGTCGGCACGGCTTGCCTCTTTCACTAGGACCACCCAAGGACTTATAAACGTAGGACACGCGTCATGTTCATGAAGCTTTCAGAGGAAAACTATTGATTCACACGCACACACCATATAAACGCACATATATATAGACATTTTAAGACCGCAAATCCGCAGAAAAACACGCGCACGCACACACGCACGCGTGCAGCAGCCGCGTGATATATCTGGCCGCTGAAAAGGCCTCTTTAAATGCTGGCAGAGCGCCTTATTAGTGCGTATTTATAGGCGATGTGTGTGCCGTACTACACGGCAGCTACTACACCATACTGTGCCGTACTACACGGTAGCTACTACACCGCGCACATGCATATGCACATATGTTTTGCATTGCATTGCAGCGCAGCTAACAGTAGTTCAACAGCACCACCACTTTTGTTCAACAAGGATTCAACTGCTACAGCGGCATTCGGTTGATGTGTGCTGTTGTGCTGGGGTTTTACCCCACATGTCAGACTTGTATGCATACGTGTACCGTGTACATGTTTGCCGTTTGGGAAAACGAAACGCCAACCGACAACCAACAGCACGGATTCCTGCTTGCAATACTCCGGCCTGCATGCATCAACATGCCCTGCTGCATGCTGCATGAAATGGTGCGCGATTAGCATAGCATGGGGAAGCGATGACCGGGCCCGTGTGACATTTTAGCTCCCGGGTGAGGAAATTGACGTTTCCTTTCTCACTCCCAGGTCATCATCGCCGCCACCCGATTTTGCAACTTCAACCAGGTACTAACTATCCATCTCAGACTGAGATCAGACCGGGACCCGGGTCTGCAATGAGTTGCAGCAAAGCACACTTGCAGCAAACACACCTTCAGCAAGCACACCTGCGTCGAGATGCTGCAAATGTGAGTATGCACGGTTATTCCAAACACACACAGTACGCCGTGCGTCAGTCGCAACCTGCCGTTCTGCCAATGCTAGCAGCTTAACATACGTGGAATGAGCTTTCCACAGATGTTTTCCCCCCTCCCGCGCGCTCATGCAATAGTAACATAGCGAACGCAATACGCCGCTGCTGGTGACTAGCTCATAATCCAAACCTTGCATTTCCGCTGCATACCTTTCATCCGCGATAACTCAGCGGCCGGAAAAGCCAGCGTCAATAGCCTCCGGCCACATGCCGCGATGCGGACCCCAAGTTGCCGTACGAGCGTACGGCCTGGGAGCTTGTCCAAAGCCGCCACCGTTGCCGCTGGGCGCAAGAGCGGCCAGTCCAGCCGCACGTGATGTTGGCGGTGTCGGTTCCCAGGGACGATCATTATCATACCCGGCACCGGCAGCGGCGCTGGTGGCGAAGCCTAGTGGTACGGCATCGTACACCCCACCATAACTACCATCTATGGCATTCCGGATTTCATTTGGTTCCTCTTCCACGTCTCCTAGCCTGCCGTACGCAACCCGGCCAGCGCCGCCGCCGATGCCACTGGCACCTATCAGCTCACCAGCGCTATGCCTGGTGGCAGGGGCGAGTGGGGACAGTGGGCGGGCCCCGCCGGTGCTGCCGCCGCCGAGCGTTACTCCCGGAGAGCTGCCCACTACCCCCCCCATGCTAGGCAGGCTGCCCATGTTCGGCATGCTTGGGCCGAATGGCCGTAACGCATGCCCCATGCCGTACGATCCCAGGCTGCGGCTGCGGCCAAAGTGGCCTATGCCGGCCTCGGGCGCGTTGGCAGCTGCGCCGGTGGCGGCGGCGGCGGCGGCGGCAGGGATCCCCATCAACCTGCCATCAACGCCAACGCCTCCACCATTACCCGGATTCCCCTGGCTCCCTGCGGCGAGTGGCGTTACCACGTATGCCCCGGGTCCAGCAGCCCCACGCCGTGAGATGCTGTACACGCCCGGCCCGCCCCCCTCCGCCGTACTCAGCGGACGTACGACGTAAGGATTTCCTCCTGCCTGCTGTGTTTCTGCTAGTGCAAGGCCGGCCGGCTTGGCCCTCAGCCAACTGTTGTGGCTCCCAACAGGTGCTGTTGCAGCAGCCGCCAAAGCCCCTGAAAAACCAGCTCCCAGGCCGCCGTCCTCGACCAGGTCGATGCCTGGAATGGGCCGTTCTATGGTCGTAACGCCTGCATTGTCGCCGAACGCCGGCAAACCGGCTCCACCAGCATCTACCAGCCCTTCCATAAGGCCCATACTATAGCTGCCAGTGCCGGGTTGTCGTACCACACCGGCGGGTTGCTGCTGTACGGCAGCGAGAGCTCCGTGTCCATAACCCCAAGGTGACACTCGCTGCGGTGTACGAGATGCCAGCACGTGAGAACTAATACCAGCACCGGCTGCTGCTGCTGCTGCTGCTGCACTAAAATTGGCTGCTGTTGTGGCTGTTGCCGTAACGCCTGCACCAGTGAGCCGCACCGCCTGCTCTCGCCATGGCGTGGTACCCTCAACAACGCCAGCATCAGCTGCTGGTGCTGCTGTTGTAACGCCCGCTGCATACATTGCGTTCCAATGCTCTGTTGGAACCATCGTCAGCGGCGTCTCGTAACGCGCACTGCGGTGGCGGGGCCCTCGTAACGCCAACAACAGCAGCACCATCGCCAGCACACACGCCATTAGGCCACCAACGACGATGCCCGAGATAGCGCCCACGGCATCGTTTCCACAGAGGCGTCCCAGATTGGGGCCTTGCGAGCAGCCCCGGGAGGGTGGCGGCGGCGCCGCAGCAGCAGCGCCCTGCAGGCTGCTGTCACCGCTGCCGCCACCACTGTCGTACCACGTGATTCCGCCGTCGCTGGTCAGGATGACAGCCTGGTCGTTAGTGGTGGAGTTGGTGGTCACGGACTCAATGATATTTTGGCACGCCTTGATAATAAAAATTTCAAAAGGCAGTAATCGTGGATGCAGACAGGAGATGACGAAGGGGGGTTCCCCTACAGTTCCCCTACAGGGAAGGACGTTGAAGAGGTACGACATCTAGACCTGCCCTACCCTGGGGTATTCTTCCCTTGGGGTCTGCGGTTCACTGTGATGCCACCTACCGCTACCTGGACACAGGTACGGAGGTAAAGGGTTTTATTGGGGGGGCCCTACTGTGGTGACCAACTTTGTACCCGCTCGTGATGAGCTGGCGTATGTCGTGACGGCACCACAGCCTGCGCCCTCCTCCCACCTCCCTTACATCTCGAGATAAAAGAGTCCTGACGACCGCACCTAAGTTGGATGTTGCACCTTCTGATGATGTATGCAGATGGGTAGCTCTATCTATCGAAATCAGGAAGACTGTACAGCGTCCCCTCCGCATTCCTAATCGGGTCTTGCCTAATCGGGCTGCTGCCTATTCCCTAGACCACCACCATTACCACCATCGCCATCACCACCAAGTATTTCAAGGCCTCAATCAGCATACAAAAGCATGCACCTGAACTGTCTGTTGACTGCTTACTACGAATTTTCCTTGCTTGCCTGCTCAGGTGTTTGTTGCCTAACTAGGCACACCTGTAGAGATACCTGTCTAGCTGGCTTTTGCATGAACTTAGTTGTTGCCTGTTTTGGCTCACCTGATCCGGAGTGAGGCCCAAGGAGGAAGCCACGACCTGACCCACCAGCGCCCCGCTCACCATGACCTCGGTGTTCTTGGCGGCTGCTAGTGTAAAAACGGGAAGGGAAGGATGGGAAGAGCGAAGAAAACGTGGAGCGAGGGTTGGCGAAAAGGGGGAATGGCCCTGTATGTATGTATGTATATACCTGTGTTGGATACAACGGTTTTCAAGCTGGACGACACGGCGATGTCCTGCGCGGTGGGGGCTGACGCCGTACCGTAGTCTCCACCGATGATGGGAATCTACGACAGCAGCGGCAAGGCACCGGGATGGGCTCTCTTTGCCGGACTGCATGCTTGCACAGTGCATGCATACACACATACACACACATACACACACATACACTGTGCAAGCAGCACGCGCTCATGCATGCATACGAACACCCTTGTTGTCGCCAACATGCAACACACATCCAACGTAAATGCATTAACACAAGATCAGCACCGCTGCAATGAAGGCCCTTGGGCCCCCTAATCAGGGCTCCGAGTGTGTATTGGGGCCCCTCCTGGTTACAACACCTTTGGAGGGTGGTAACGGGGGGGGGGAACTCCAGGAGATTCAACACACACATACACATACGCACATACGCACATACACACGCATGGACAATACGCTAACAGAGAACCAGCGCCCGATGCAGAGCAGCAGTAAGGTAGTGGTAATTGTTGCCGTAATTGCTTGCACCTCGCTAAAGGCGCTGGTCCTGGCCACGGCACTGGTTCTGCCGTTAGCCTCTGTCTACTACGCCCTAAAGCACTTCTAGGGGCTCTGCACATGGCGTCTGCATTCCCTGCCTAGCCCTGGGCCCCCTGGTGCTGCCTGGCCCGTACGTACCGGCGTCTGCAGGAGCCTGCTCGTGAGTATCGACTGTGTGTGTATGTATGTATGTGGGGTAGGGGGAAAGGGATGTGATTAGGGGGGGGGAGGGATGTGAAAAGAGTAGGGAGGAGGACAGCAGCAGAGAGAAGTAGAAGCATCAGCAGAAAACACAGATGTTTTTCGGAGCCAGAACGATGGCGTGAAAGCAAGAAGAAGGCTGGGCCCCTCTAACACGCAACAGACAATGCACAAGCTGTAAGAGGAAAAAAAGGGAAGCAGGAAGGGCATGGCGCTGGAGACGGACGCCCCTGCGTGAAATGGGCTGTTCGAGTCGGCGGCCGTTGCACCAGTGATGGTGACGATGGTGTCGGTGACGATGGTGTTGGGGTGAACACGATAGTGATGGTGACGGTGGTGTTGGTGACGATGGTGTTGGGGTGAACACGATAGTGATGGTGACGGTAATGATAGTGGATATGAAGTCTGCACCCAGTTGACGACGACGGGGACCTGCTCCCCACCTGACCATCTGACCACCTGACACTGAAAGTGGATGGGACCGGGACCTGGCGCACCAGCCGTATTTCGGGCATTTGATGCCTTATACCCAGCCTCAGTCAAAGCCAAAGCCTCAGCCAAAGCCCCGAACCCTAAGCCCCAGTTACTCGGGGCAACAGTCGGCAAACTCTACGGTGGCAACTCACCTGCCACGTGGCGTTGTTGATAGGGAACATAGCCGAAAGCACTGAGGTGCAGTTGCTGGAGGACGAGGATGAGGTGGACACAGTGGGCGGCAGCACCGGAAAAGCTGTAGTGGCGGCGGCGGTGGTGGCTGCCTTCTGACTCATCATGCAGGACACGGCCACGTCACTGCGGAGCAGGAATGAACACACAGTGGCACAGTGACACACCCATCAGACGGAGACAGTTGGCCGCCGCCGTACATACAGCAGCAGCGCAGTTGCGGGAGCAATTCGTCGACCATGTGTTCACGGATACGTGGCGCAAAAACGGTTTTTTTTTACATGGAGGGGAGAAGCGTGTAGGAGTAAGGAATAACCGAGAACAGGCGAGCGTAGCATGAAAGCGAGAAAGGTAAAGAGCCTGCATGGCCTAAGGATTGTTGCAGGAAACGAAAGCAAAGAGGATGGGTATCCCCCGACACACCAACACCAACACCAACACCAACACCAACACCAACACCGGGCAACAGCGAGAGCGACAGCACCTGCATCTGGTTGGCTGAAGCTGCGCGCACAGTCCCGACGTCAGTGCCGCCTCCACGGCAGCCGTACAGGGCACACACGGCTCCGATGCCGCCAGCCGCCGGGTCCGACCTGATGCACCCGCTTCGCCGCTGCCGGCGGCAGCGGCCCGGCGCCGCCGCCCGGCAGCAGCAGCAGCGGCGTTGATACCGCTGCTACTGCCGGCCCCCACCCGGTAGAACGTGGTTATGTAGACCCCGCTGATCGTGGTGGCGACGGATGAAGAGTTCAGTCCCAGGGCTCGCGCCACTCGTCCTGAGATGATCTGTGTTTAGTGGGCATGCACACACACAGACACACACACACACACACACACACACACACACACACACGCGGATGCGCAGCGGATGCAGCACGACCGTCATGACGAGGCGCAGTGGCACACATACCCCCAGGTTACGGGTCGGGACTTGTTAATGCTCCCTCCGCTTGCTCGCTCTGATGCTTAAGGCTGTTTGTCTGAGTGATGTATGATTGCCAAAACAGACACGGTGGTCAAGATGGTTGGTAACCTGGGTAACTTAATAATTCATAAATAATTTGGTTAACTTAAAAAGACCGCAGCGGTTCGTAGGTGTATAAGGTAGCTTTGTGGCTTTGCTGTGTGTGCCCGGTATGGTCGTTGCGTAGTGAAGTGTTAGTAGTAGTTGTTTAACACCGGCTGGATCTCTGCTACAGCGAGTGGCGTGGTAAAACTCGGTGGGGCTCACCTCGAGTCTCAATGTTGAGGGCCTTGTGGGAACACCAATGAAGGAGGTGAAGCTGGAGCCTGCTGGAATTTCTGTCAGAGGAGGAGGCGGCGGCCGAGGTGGCGGTGGTGGTGACGGCGGCTGCGGCGGTGGTGGCAATGGCAGCGGCGGGAGGGGTTGGTACGACGCCGGCGTTTTTGGGGGCGGAGACCGCTGAATGGGCGCTGGGGAGGGGGGTAATGGGCTCCGTAAGGCTGTGGGTGACGGCGGTTGAGGCGGCGGAGCTGGCATTGGCAGTGACGGAAGTGGTGGGGGCGGGTGTGGTGGAGGTATAGGTGGTAGAGGATTTTGCAGCGGCGGTGGACTGTACAGCATCGGCGGTGGACTGTACAGCATCGGCGGTCGCGGCGGAGGCGGACTGGTTGACGGTGGTGGAGATGACGGCGCCATCACCTTGAGCGGCGGCGGTGATGGTAGTGGCGGCGGAAGTGCAGGTTTCGGTGCGGCTTGTAAGGGCGGTAGTGGTGATGGCGGCGGCGGCGACGGAGGGGAAGGCCGCGGCGGAAGCGACGGCAATGGCGAGGGCAGTGGTGAAGTAGTTGGTGGTGGTTGCAGTGAAGGCGGTTGAAACGCCAACGGGGACGATGGTGGTGGTTGAGATGAGGGCGGTGGTTGAGGTGAGGGTGGTGGCTTAGTGGACGGTGATGGTTGAGGTGAGGTGGGTGGTTGAGGCGATGGTGGTGGTTGAGGTGATGGTGGTTGAGGCGATGGTGGTGGTTGAGGTGATGGTGGTTGAGGGGATGGTGGTGGTTGAGGTGATGGTGGTTGAGGGGATGGTGGTGGTTGAGGTGATGGTGGTTGAGGGGATGGTGGCGGTTGAGGTGATGGTGGTTGAGGTGGTGGTGCTGCCCCGGTGAGGGGCGATTGTAAGGGCATAAGTGGATCGGGGGCGAGAATTGGCGACGGAGTGGAGGCGAATGGCTGAAGCGGCGCAACTGGATCCGGAGGCCGTGGCGTCAAGGCTGGTGATGCAGGCGGTTCTGATGTCAAGGCTGGTGATGCGGGCGGTTCTGATGTCAAGGCTGGTGATGCGGGCGGTTCTGATGTCAGGGCTGGTGATGCGGGCGGTTCTGATGTCAAGGCTGGTGATGCAGGCGGTTGTGATGTCAAGGCTGGTGATGCGGGCGGTTCTGATGTCAGGGCTGGTGATGCGGGCGGTTCTGATGTCAAGGCTGGTGATGCGGGCGGTTCTGATGTCAAGGCTGGTGATGCGGGCGGTTGTGATGTCAAGGCTGGTGATGCGGGCGGTTGTGATGTCAAGGCTGGTGATGCGGGCGGTTGTGATGTCAAGGCTGGTGATGCGGGCGGTTGTGATGTCAAGGCTGGTGATGCGGGCGGTTGTGATGTCAAGGCTGGTGATGCGGGCGGTTCTGATGTCAAGGCTGGTGATGCGGGCGGTTCTGATGTCAGGGCTGGTGATGCGGGCGGTTCTGATGTCAAGGCTGGTGATGCGGGCGGTGGTGATGTCAAGGCTGGTGATGCGGGCGGTGGTGATGTCAAGGCTGGTGATGCGGGCGGTTGTGATGTCAAGGCTGGTGATGCGGGCGGTTCTGATGCCAAGGCTGGTGTTGAGGGTGGTGCATCCTGCAGAGGCGGCGCCCGCCGCGGTGGGGCGTTCGGTGATGGGGCCAGCGGAATCAGCGGCCCCTGGCTTACCGGTGGTTGAGCTGGGGCCCGAGCTGGCGGCAAGGGAGGGCTTGATTGAAGTGCAAGCGGTGGCGGCAAGAGCTGGGGTGCTGAGGGCGGTGGCGGCAAGGTCGCCGCCGGACCGGGGTATGCCGGGGGCAGCAGCAGCGACGGAGGCGGCTGGGATACGATTCCGCTTTCAGGCGTGCTTGGTGACGGCGTGGCGGTGCTCATTAATGCTTCCTGCTGCTGACGACGGGTTTTCATGGCTTCTGGAGCTGGCGCTGCGATGTGTTGCCAATATTGCGACGGCGCGGGTTGAACTATTGCCGGCGAAGACGCTGACGCTCCTGGCCAAGAGGGGCTGGTGTGTGATGGTGGGTGGCCGCGACTTGTGCATGCTGACAGGAAGGTGCTCCTGGATGGCGGCGGCGATCGCACTGTGGATACTGTCACCTCAGTGGCCGCAGACAAGCTGCTCGGCCGTACATAAGCACGCGTCGTACAGATGCAGTACAACAGCAGTAAGATGGTCGCGCCGAGATGGAGAGGAAGTGATGATAGCGGTGGCGGGGCCCTTGGGAAGGCGCAGAAGAGGGCTGGTAACATCGAGAGACAAGTGGATGCGGCCACAGCCGGGGCGGCAGCAAAGGGAAGTCAAGCTCCAAAACAGAAGGTAGATGATGGAGATATACCTGCCGTGCATAGGGACGATAATAAAGGTGCTAGTTGTTTCGGAGTTCAGGAGCTCGCGCGGGTCTCAGATGACATGGCGCGACGCCCTACTGGCGGGCGCAATTTTTATTAGGAGCAACGATAACTTTCTGCTGACATGCTCGAAAAAGTGCTTCATATGTGCAGTTGTAAATTACGATTATACGCCATTTTTTATGCAAGGCCGTCCAATCATTTTGAAGTGCGTGAGACGTAGAGCAAATACTGAAACGTACCTTGAAGCTGTTTGGAACCTATGATACCACATCTGTAGTAATTATTCCACTGATAATCCATTGCAGTTCGTGCACCGGGGCGACTCCACCTTGTTACGGGACGCATACACGTCGGAGATGCAAGCCTTCAAGCCGGTACACATATTAATTCGATGATAACGTATAATATTTTAGTCAATATTAACATTTTGCAAATTTCGATCGATACCCAACGGTCACCGGACCTACGGTACTGTATGTGTATCCAGGACTTTGCATTAAGATAGCTTTCCCTAAGAACTAAACGGGCATAAAGTGCTGGAATAAGCTAAAATACGTGCAATTCCGTGTTCGCACTGTGAACTGTTTGCACCCTCCGTTTTCTGTCAGTGGCATAATGGAGCCAGAAATAAACTCTTCATTTACGGGTTAGCGCCACAATGATGCCGAGTAGCACGGACGGCTTAGGGTGGCAGTTTGACCGAGTGGGACGAGAAAAGCTCGTACGAAGGCAACGATGGTCGAGAGACATTGTGCCCAGCGCACCGCGCACCTTCAGTATGTCGCAAGGATGTATGCATGATCAAAAATTACTAAAAGATCACCATTAAGGAATTGTGTACCAACCGCTTTAACACACAAGCCACAACCAAATGCACATCGATGCACATCGTCACAGCAATATTTATCAATAAATTACAGAAATAAAATAGCAAGTTACAGAGCCGATTTTGCCTGGCGTCCGACATGAGCATCAGGATGCTGACTTGCATGCGGCGGGCGCGCTCCGCTCCACCCCGGTCTGATAAGATTTAGCCTGCCCGGACGTAAGCCCTTGTCCTAAGCCTGAAGGATGTCGCCCTGAGGCACTACCTGTGCCTGTGCATTCAAATGGGCAGTGCACACGACCGCACTTCCGTACCATTGTCCTTCCATCCTCCTCATCCTCTTCTCATCCCTGCAGTCCAGGCCCAAACAAGGGAACAGATAATCTCTCGTGTATATCGTGATAATCAAATCGTACCTTTGATAATCCGTATTCAGTCACTAGGGCCTCCGCTGTGGTCCTAGCCTAAGGCCTAAGGGAACGCTGCTGTTTTTCTGCCGTCACAAAAGCCAGGGGAAGCAATTTCTTGGTGCCATGATATACGAAAACACCATTCACGGAGCACTTGCGTTACTCCCCAAGTTATAAAACGAGCCGTCTTCAGGTCCCAGACATCATGCTGCGGGGCTTTGAGGTCCAAGTCCGGCCGATACTGTCGTACGGTGCAGAGGTGTGAGGGGGCCAAGAGGCTATCTGGGAGATACTAAGGACAACGGGTAGACGACAGGCGACGGAATGGCTGAGATGGGGGTAGTGAAGAGGGTCAGGACGAGAGGAGAGAATGCGGCGCTCCTGACAAGATGGGGCTGAAATGGATCAGAAGATCCGCGGGAGCTTGGGGAGATCCATGGTGGATCCAATGGTAGATGTGCCGAAGCTTTTCCAAAGGGGTTCAAAGCTACCTCCCAATCAATAGGCAACTTTTTCGCAGAAACATCGCTACTTTTTTGGACAAGTTATTACGCAACGCTTGCGCGGGCCTTAATGAAAGGGCGAAGATCGCGGCATGGCTTTTGAAGCAGGGCGACCGCGTGGGCTCTTCTGGGCAGGGAAGGTGCTCGGAACCTCCTGTTATCTTGGCTTTGATAACAGACCGCACGTACACGAGGGGCACAGTAATGCAGGAGGGAAGGCACGGATAACTGTGTGACTGGAGCTCCCGGTCGATGCGCTGCTGAAGGAGTTTCGAAGGAGGTGGTTGGCAGACTGGGAACGGCCGGAGATCGCAGTGGACCTGGGGGGCTTTCCAAAGTAGACGGAGAGGGATGTGAATTTGGACAGACCAGGAACTAGGGTAGACCAGGCATCACCACTTGCCGCAATAAAATGTGGATGAGGAGTAGAGTACTCGCCCGATGATAGCAAGTCAAATAGGGCACCTAAAGGTGAGTATGCCGAGAACAGTCCACACCGCCCTGATGCGTTCTCGCCTTGGCAAGTAGGATCAGGATGTGTGTGTGTGTCTGTGTGTGTGTCTGTGTGTGTGTCTGTGTGTGTGTCTGTGTGTGTCTGTGTGTGTGTGTCTGTGTGTGTGTCTGTGTGTGTGTCTGTGTGTGTGTGTGTGTCTGTGTGTGTGTGTCTGTGTGTGTGTGTGTCTGTGTGTGTGTGTGTCTGTGTGTGTGTGTGTGTCTGTGTGTGTGTGTTACATGGTCGTGGGGGTGCATATCTATACCTGCAAACCGCCCAATAGAAGCCGAGGGCTGAAGGGCTGCCAGAACGCCTATAAGCACCATCCTACCTCGCACTTCAGACAAAGCAAGTGGTAAAGGAGACTAATGGCCGAAGGGGACGATAGAATTGCGGTGGGACCACATATGTTCTATGGATGGATGGATGGATGTTACAAGCTTCAGCGAGCTCGTACGGCCCAAACGAACCCGGAGGCTCATGAACCGCTTTGACAGCGCCGTCGATAGGGAAAAGAAAAAAAGAGAAAAAGTAAACGAAGCAAACAAAACAAACAACAAAAAAGGAAAGTTTTACGCAAGAAGAAAACGGGTGTTTATGAGAAAGAACAGCGTCAATTTGACTCTGAAACACAATTGCCTATTACCGCCGAGAAAGTTAGGTAGTTAGGTGCTCATGCCGGGAGCGAAACATCTCAAAAATAGCCTTTGCAAGACCACGCTGATCATCCACTTGCATGATATCACGGATGTTCGCATTGACGGGCACACCGAGGTCCCAGATCTTCTGACGCGCAGACATAATCACCGGACATTCTACCAGGAAGTGTTTCTCATCCTCAATAGCACCATTACTACGACACACAGCGCACACGCGGTGCTCCCTAGCCCTGTTGCTCTCACTGTTAACCGCCAGGTCAGAGACACACAAACGAAAGCGGATTAGGGCACGATGATGCGCCGGGGGGATATAACCCGCGTACGGCTTCAGTGGCCCCATCCAGTGCTTATGGCGGCCCATCTTCACGCCGGGCTTCCTACCGTCCGTAACGAAAACTCTAGGGTCCACAGCTAGCCTATCATTCGCCCAGTCGTCGTTGACACGTGTCCTAAGGGTATCCATCAGCGCTTCGACATCAAGCTTGCAAGCCGAGTAACGTCTAACCCTCATATCAATGCCTCCCCCGACTGCCTCCTCACCCCAGTCATGCTCTAAGTGGTTAAGGATACGAATGACTTTGGATCCCCAACCATCAAACTGTAAATTCGTTACTAACGCCAAACGAATTTCCTGACGAAAGGCGCTGTGGTATACGCTACTAGTGTCCTCCACCAAACTATTCCAGAAGCGAAATACGGATTCAGCCCAGTGCAGCTGTAGCGGCATCTGACCTAGCTCCATGAACAGAAGCTGGAGGGGTGGTACAGAAGTCCCTACCAATTGTTTCATGAAAAAGATTTGGAGCTTGACCATGCGGTCTCGTATAGCCACATCGAAATAGCATGACCGCGGTGCCTCGTTAGCCGGATAGCCCTTGTCCAACATCGCGAGAACCTGGTCAGCCCCCCACACCTGCGAGCCGTATGATAAGACAGAACGAACTTGCGCATTGAAACACTTCATGCCGACGCTAGGTAGCAGCAGACCCTGCCGGCGCAGCTTGTTACGCAGAGCAAACATGGCCCGTTGGCCAGCCGAGAACAGCTCATCCGTGCAAGACACAAAACCCGAGTCTGGTCCGAAGTGCAGCCCCAGATAACGGGCGCGTGTTTTCCAAGTGACCGGACGGAAGATCGGTAACCCCTCTTCAAGTGCGCGCATGGTGACCAGGTTGTATCCGCTGAGAGCATAGACCTGCCTTCTAACCTGACCATTGGGGTGAAAAAACAATAACTCACACTTTTGCACGTTGACAGTGAGACCGAAAGCCTCTGACCACTCCCGCAGTGCCCGTAATAAGCTCATCAACCGTCTCAATGACATCGCGAAGAGGCTCAAGTCATCAGCATAGAGAGATAGGGGCACTCGACGTCCTTCAACGCTAGGGGTGTCATGGGCCGCCATGGCGTCAGGAAGTGCGACGTCTAGGGCATCGATGTAATCTGCAAAACCTTCGACAAAAAAACCGAAGAGCGTGGGGCTCATAGGGCAACCCTGCTTGACCCCTTGGGTGGAGGGAATCGCCTCTCCTTTTGCTCCATCAACCTGGACTCGCATTTCCACCCGATTGTAGCAGCGCTTGATGACATCTAACGCAGAGCCCGTGACTCCTCGTTCCTCAAGTCTAACCC